CTGGATATTGGCGGCCTTCGATTTGCAGCAATCTTACGGAGGACTGGTAGGTGGATGACTGCCGCGATGTTTGCAAGGTTTTGGCGGTAACATCAACAGAAAAGAATTCCCGTATCGTTTCAACATTGGCAGTAGCGCTCATGATGATGACTTTTAGCGGTATTCCTCCGCGTCCAGCTTTATCTCCGGCTAGAATTTGCTTGAGAAACCCTGATAGTAGGTCCACGTCCACACTTCGCTCGTGGATCTCATCCACTATGATAGCACTATACTGCTGAAGGTTTGGATCTCTCAGGAGTTCTTGTAGGAGCATGCCCTCCGTGAGAAACTTGATTTTCGTCCCACGGGGAACATGATGGTCAAAGCGGACCGAGTATCCCACCAGTCCTTTGGCGCCTTTGACACTGGAATCTTTTCCTAACGGTGTCCCAGCTTCACGAGACACACGATGTGCTAGAGTTGTCGCTGCTACACGGCGCGGTTGCGTTATGGCGATCATACCTCCCACAGCGACTTCTTCCAACGAAGCGCCACCTTCCCTGCGAACTTTCACCGTCCTTCTTTGGCACCAACGTTCCGTATAAAGAAATTGGGGAACTTGTGTACTTTTTCCAGATCCAGTTTCGGCGACAACCACTAAGATGTCATCTCCATTTCTCTGTAGTGCTTGTCTGATATCATTGCGATAGTTCCATATCGGCAGTTTCTCCCGTACGCGAAGAAGCTCTGAATCTCCTCTCTCGGAAGAGGTAGAATCAGCTTGCGAGTGTGATTCAACGTCCTTGTCACCGTATTTTTTAGGAATGGTACTCTTCTCCTGGCGATTCACGACTGCTTCAGCCGGTGAAATTTCTTGCCCTCCACGCTCACTCTTGCTTGGAGTCTCGTCCTGCGTTTTGGTTTTGAGGTAGCCCTCTAACGATATCGTTTTGTTTCCAATTTTGATGAACTCACCAGTCGCGTGAGTTTTCCGTCGTTTCGACATTTTTTTGGCCGCATTTATCATGGATTGAGAGTTTGTAATGCCAAAGTTCAGACACCCAAAAAATCGAGCTTGATATTTCCCGTCACGTGACAGCCACCAAGCACCAGACAAACCATTCACTCTTTTTACAGCCGATTGTCAAGATCTTCGAACATATTCATATTGATTATTTGGACAATATTAGGTCATTGTAAGTAACTTGGGTGCTACGAGTGAGGAAACTGGGATTCGTGGGGTATTCATTTAGTGACCTCGCCGCACCAAATGGTTAGGCGGAAGACCTGGCACAACGGTGTTTTGGGCAGAGATATGTTAGACCAAATAAGCCCTGCACACATAACTTCCCCCTTTCGCTGTTCTTCACCCTGCCAAAGAGATGCCAGAAAATCATGGAGCGAGCAAACTATGCTCTATATGTGTCCAAGACCTCAAGATTGATGACACCGTTGACGACTTCCATGAAGATGTAGACTCCAAAGGCGATCCTACCCTGCATTTCAAGCCAGAAAAAGATGGTTCAAAGCGCCTACCGCGTGTCAGAAAATGGGACGATATTTTGCCTGACTACCCAGCAATGCAAGCTTCAGCTCAAAATGGTTGTGAGCTTTGCGATTTCGTCCGGAGAAGTCTCATCAGGCGAGGAATTAATGGCGACTGCTCGGTCACCATCAAGTGTGGTTATGTCTGGGGAGCAAACCGGGATGAGTTAAGGCCGCAACTATTATTCGCGCGTCGAAGTGATGGTTTGACTTATATGCGATGCGAGGTCTTTCGTGGAGACGAGCAGTTAGCGTATATCATCTTCCCTATCGAAGCCACATCGGACGGTTGGATTCTGCCAAAGTCTCAATGAAGATGCAATTATAGCTGATGCTTCTATAGAGAGCCTCAGCACTTGGCTGCGACTTGATTCCCCACGAGAGAAGGAACCTCTTGACCCTGAAAATGTCGAATGGATCCAGTCGGAACTTTGGAAGTGCGATAACGAATGTGACCACTCTCAGAAAGTCCCGAAATCAAATTTCGTGCCAACTCGTCTCATTGATGTTACTGGAGTTGGAGATGCTAGTTTTGATGCAAAGCTGGTTATCTCAGCTGATATTGCAAAATATTCTTCTGGTCATATACAATATGCCACTCTGAGTTATTGCTGGGGTCCAAAATCTGATGCCGATGAACAGCTCAAGACGACTCAATCCACTATTCATTCCTATTGTGAGAGAATTCCATCTGCATCGTTATCACCGGTTGTTCGGGATACCATACGTGTTTGCCGAGCACTCAACATCAAATATGTTTGGATTGATGCCCTTTGCATTGTACAAGACGACATTGGAGACTGGGAGCATGAAAGCGAAATAATGGGCCTGGTCTACTATTATTCCTACCTTACCATATGCCCTCTTATTTCGCATTCTTGCCTTCAGTCATTTCTCCACGTTCGTTCCCCGGGTTTGTGCATTCCTTTCTCCTCGTCTCTTCATCTCAATATCAAAGGGGTATTTAGGATGTATGAAAGCCATAACGACCAAGACATGAAATCGGTCGGAGAGGAGCCAAACTGGTCAATGGATCTAGATCCACCGCAGTACATGGACAGAAAATTGTCATCGTGGAAATCAAGGGGATGGACCTTTCAGGAGGAGAGTTTCTCTGGTCGAGTATTGTATTTTGGGAAGTCGATGCTGCATTTTACCTGCGAGAACTGGGCGATATCAGAAAACTGCTATGTTGAAGAAGGTCCCGGGATAATTGGACCGTTTCGAGAGCTACTCGACTCAATTTTACTCACCGACCCTACGGACTCGTCTCGATCTCGAGCAGGTGCTATTTGGGACTCGATCGGGCTTATCAATCGTCGACACTTCACGAACTTGGAGGATTTCTTTCCGTCGATAGCGGGATTAGCAAAGGCATGCTCTGACGCAAAGAAAGACACATATCTTACAGGGTTGTGGATGCAGCATATTTGTCGTGAACTCCTCTGGATAGTGTTCCAGCCACCCAAAGGAAGTCTCACCTCTCATATCGAGCAATTGGTTGGCCAAAACCCTTACATTGCGCCGTCATGGAGCTGGGCATCCCAAAGACAATATTTTGAGAACTTTGTTTGCGAAGAATATGAGAAACTGCGGACGGTAGAAGAAGAGACGCAGCTGTCATCAGACTCGAGGCTTTTTTACCAAGCACGATGCTGGCCAAGCCACCTTCAATCAGAAATGAAGCTTGTTGACCATTCTGTGTCTCTAAAAGGACGAAATCCGTACGGACGTATCGAGAGTGCTTTCCTGACTTTACGTGGGAGGCTGGCTCCCTTCCCATCAGATGTCATAATGCAGCCATCAGGACTTGGCCGCTCTGCAATGGGTTATTTTTCGAATAAATTTGGCACAGTCATGCTGGATTGGTGTGTCATTGAAAAGACTATCCAAAAAGCAGAAGATATGAGGCTGTTCTTTACCATGTCGTGCTGTCAGCCTACAAGCAACCGCCCATTACAATGGTATGCAAATCCCGAGGAAGACCATGAGGAACTTGTCCGCATGAGCTTCGAAGGAGGCTATCTAGGTAGCGGCGAAGACGGGTTTGACGAAGCAGATTCCTGCTCTTTCTGCCTGGACGCAAATCACAAGAGGAATGTTTGGGGCATAGTTGTGAATCCAAGTGGGAGGGATGGGAGCTATTTCCGTGTAGGAGCATTTGTTCTATTTCGCCACTCTGGAGCAACGGCCCTCTTTCAGAAAGCCACGTACCATGACATAATAGTGGTATAGGTCGGTTGAATAATATGTTATAGAGCACAATGTATCGAGATTTAGCTCCCATTGAATCGTAAAGGAGAAAAAGGATGTTTTACACTTTTCTTGAATATCACAGAATACTTATCTGAGGAACTCTCAATGTTGATCATATGGACGTAAAAAGATCGGCCTTTTCGTAAGGCTATGAAACCGCCTAGATGAAACCCTACTGGGTTATTTCACGTCTGTAAAAACTTGATCCTCTCAAAATCATCGCGGATTTTGCGACAATAAACCTCACAGCCCGATTTATATGATAGTAATACATTTCAAGTTCAAGCATGAACATGGGGAGCGGTTCCTTCGCGCAAGGGTCTACAATATTGAAGCTGTTAGCTTCGACGGCGATGCCTTTCACCTCATCCGTACGGAGTCATATATCCGCCGCCAAGGGGTTTCTATCGTAGTAGGACACCGGACCTTGGTTTGTATACCATCCAATATCAGAAGACCCATCCGATCAACGAGCGTTGAAAGAACCGAAGGCGCACAGATTGGTCACTCAAATACGCGCCTGACAGCCTGGAGCAAGTCCAGGTACATAAAAACCCTTGCCCCGCCTTTCTCCAACTGATCAGACAACCAACCTGGCCCTCTAGAGGAAAAGCAAAATGGAGAGATTCAAGCTTGTCTACACCGTTCCAGGTCTGTCCGATGCCTGTGATTGTTGATACTGGTGGCTGAACTTATGATAGCGTCTCACATCCAGGCAACCAAGGATGCCGTCTTTGCTGCAGGGGCAGGCGTCTACGAAGGCGGCAAATATGTCCAGGTCGCATTCGAACTGACCGGACAAGGTCAATTCCTGCCAGTGGCAGAAGCCGGTGCTGATCCGCACACCGGAAGTGCTGGTCAATTGGAACGAGTACTTGAGTACCGCGTAGAAATTCTATGCGAAGGGCGAGACCTTGCCAAAGTGGCTGTCACCGCGCTGAAGAAGTCAGTCACATTATCTCCAAGCTATCCTCAATCGGCTAATTTCCGATACTAGGGCTCATCCATATGAGGTTCCAGCATATGAAGTCTATAAACTCGAAGATATGTAGTCACATGGGCTGTAGGCTGATCACTGGAGGAGAAGGGAACGATTACATCAGTTCATTATTAGCGTCCACAGCGATAACGCCTATAACAGGGTGAAAGTTCCCGTGACAAAAAAGAATACGCCTGTTCCCAACCTTTCTCTCTGGCTGTAGCCTTGATGACCTGAAATATCATCTAATGCGACTGAGCTTCTCTCTGTTCATTCTTACTCCATCGTCCACGGCATCGCTCTGTAAAACCTTTGTTAGTATGTGAAATAGACAGAAACACAATGTAAACTGGATCCAACTGACCTTCATGGCAATGCGATCGATGAGGACATTCTGTCGCTCAAGCTCGTTGCCCATATCACGAGCAATTTCGTTGAGGACACCAACACCAGCACCTATCGCTTTGATATTGTTCTTTATTTGACCTTCGACAACTTCGGCATCGGGGTCATCCTCTTCCTCAAACAAAAACTTCGACCTCTCAGCTGCTCGGTCGGAACTATGGCCGAGCTGTTTCGTCTTATTGAGGTTCTTGAAGCTGTCTTCCATCCGCTGGGTAGTATTATATGCGTCTCGGCGGGTGGCCTCTCGCTGTTCCCTTTCCATGCGATGTCGATCTAAGACCTCAGCGTCACGAGCTGCTTTTCTATCCTTAGCGGTGAAAGGATTGGCCACATGAACTGCGAACATGCTACGGTTCAAGGTCTTCAGCTCCTTTGTCCTGTCCTCAGCAACCTTGTTGTAATTAGAGGCGAGATCCAGGTTCTTTTCCGTATTGTGGAGGCGCTCGGCCTGAGCACCAATTCGAGCGTATGTCCCGCGGGCTTGCTCCTGCGCTGCGTGCATTATCTGAAGCGTGCGCAACGTGCTGTCCTTCGAAGCGTTCCTCGTGTCACGGATCTCTTGCTTCAAATTCTGTATATCTTGCTCCTCCTGCTCTTCGGCCGTCAGCTCTCGCGGTGCACCATACCCATCGTAGCTCTCGTCATTAGAGGAGCTAGCATGTCCATAGTCGCGGCGTGGCTGTTGAGCATATCTGTCCTTTGCACCATCGAGGAGTTGAGCTTTGTTTGAATCGTCCCCATAACCCCCGCCTAATGACGAGGGCCCCGCGACAGCGCCGCTACTCTGTCCGTATGCGTCTGCGTTCTGAGGCTGACCCTGTCGTGGAGGCTGGTACCTATCCTTGGCTCCACCGAACAAAGCACCTCGGTTGTCGTCACCGTCCATCGTATCCGTGCGACCAAGGCCGCCATAACCTCCGGGGCCCCTGGAGCCGATTGACGAATTCGCACTATAAGCACTGGCATTATCGTCGTATCGGTTGCTGCCGTAGCCACCCGCAGCACCAAACTTCTCGGCGCCATAGCCACTGCCGGACGATCCAGTGCTGGAGTATGGGGGAGGAGGGCCGTTGGAACCTCTAGGGCCAGGTCCGCTCGGCAAGCCATTCGGGGCACCAACACGGGGACCGCTGGGCAGACCGGCTCTGGCTTGTTGATATGGAGTCATCGGCGCTGCGTAGGGGTCTGGAGAGGAGGTCTGGGCATATGGATTGTCGTCTTGAGAGGAGTCTTTCTTTCGTCCAAAGCGGCCGCTCGATCCAGACTTGACGGAGGCGTCGTCCCCGTCAGACTTCTTTCCGAAGCCGAACTTCTTCATTTTGTCGGTCGGTGTCTGCGCTGATTAATATGAGGACAAGCAGAATCGACGCAGGAATTGAGGACGGCTTTTCAAAGGCGGATAAATAGAGGGAAATTAATGGAATTGGATGGGGAGCTGGGTGTTCTCCTTTTTGTGGCAAGATGGAAGCGTCTGTCGTCTGGGCAGTGTTTCGAGACGGTCAGCATGCAGCCGGGATGGGCAACGGAGGGGTCCTGATCGGCCTGAAGAAGGGGAGGGTCCCAACGGGTCCAATTGGGTCTGGTGGGTCGCTGGCTCGGCAGGTCAGCCATCAAACAGTCGTCAGGCACAATTGGTGGAGTCAGCATGACCCCTCTAGCGCCTGAGACTCTGCCAAAGATAGCTCGCCACTCCCATGGTCCAGCCACAATACAGGCGCTGAGCCAGGGAAACCACCAGGCGACCAACGCGGCCGGCGGCGGCTGGGCAATGCTCAGGCTACCTGAAGTAGGTGCCGTATCTTTCCAAGTGCAAGGAGTGCAGGCTGGAGTGAAATGATTGAAGGGAGAATGAAGTCTAATTGGACAACCTTAAAGGACTGAAGGCAGCATCCAAACTGGCCAAGGTAGCAATTAATTGATAGGAAAGTTTTATCTGACCTTCTTGGGGCCGCACACTGCCTGGAGGAAAGCGTGCCAGGGCGCCAGAGTCCTCTCCAGCCACTGTGGCTTTCGTCTGGCCCGCCTGTTCATCCCACTTTGAGATGTGATGCCATGGCGATAGAACTTCTTCTTTGCATCCAATGTCGGAGCTGTTGAGATTGGACGATCTGGTGACATCTCAGATACCAGCGTTGAGCCGGACAGATTCATATCGTACGGTAGCACTTCGGAGAGCGCGCGCCTAGAGAGCTGCCGCTCCTCCGACCCATCATTCTCAGGGCCGCCGGCGTAGACATCATATATGTGACTCAGCTTTGTCTCGCTGCTGCTGTTGCTGAAAGGGCTGTCGCCTCCACCACGGCCATCCCCGTCTTCATTGTCCACCAGCGTCAAGCCACTCAACCGTCGTCTTTGTTCCCAATCCACCGTTTCCCCCGTCTCTGCCCTCTTGACTGTCATATTGAGTCGACATTAGACGCCACGATTCGAGTTACGAGCCGCTAAGCACTGAGTTGACGATAGACGGTTGTACACTGTAAGCTTGAGATCGAGGCTTGATGGTCCAACCCTCCCGAGATTGAATCGCGATCTCTGCTTTGCTGGGACAATTTTGCCTCACAATTACAAGTGCAGCCGGGAAACAGGGGGTTAGACGAGAAACCGTGGCACATCATTTCCTGGGGGCCCTTGGAAACCCTGAACAGTCTCATTGAAGACCGCCGGTGCCCGGAGCAGAGAGTCATAAGAACTCTCATCCCTACTGAGTGCGTGAATCACATCGGCCTGGATAGCAAGCACCCCTGAGCAGTCACGCAATCCACTCAATTCATCAGAAGGGTCGACCTCATGTGCTTGAAACACGTCAGTGTCTTGAGCGCAATTGAGCATTTGCACCCTCATTCAGACTAAACTCTCCGGTCCACGTCGCGAAGACAGTTCAGATTCCGAACACCTGGAACCACTGTATTCTCCATCCGTACGAAAGATCTAGAAATCGATTCATGTTCTGAACCGAACCTTAGGTACTCACTGCCAGCGAGCCGTTTCTCAACCCCGTTCAAGATGATCCTGCGAATACACAAACTCTCATCTCATTCCGTAACGCTTCATACTTTACCTCGATTGCGGCACTATATATATTTACACGTTTCTTGAGTGAATCACTGCTTTGGGCCTTGCTGGTTCATAAACATCGTCGACGGTCATCCGGACTTCTCGAAAAGATCACTAAGCCATCTTCATATCAACGCTTAGGGTAGCACCACAATCCTTGAAGCTGGTGGTCATCTGAGTTTCCTGTACCGATTGCTGGGTACTGTATCTCATTTTGATACCTTGTTTTGAGGCACTCTCAAATAGGAAGGGACATACGACAAGCAGCCGCTGACAATCTGAAGCCAAAGCTGGCAGGTACGACCTGTTTGGATATCCATCCGACTCAATTCCAGAGCGGGCAACTTTTGCCTAGTTCAGAAGGCGCCTGCTGCTCAAAATGTCCGTTTTCACATTTGAGACCGAACCCACCAGGGTCTCGTCTCCGTGGCTTCAACCCACAGACATCTCCGAAGTCAAGAAGCTGGAAGCCGAGCCGCAGGAAGGGTCAACTGAATACAAGTTGCATCTACTTCTGCGGCCTAGACGCCGCGAGTTAAAGCGACTTACCAGGCAGGCTGTCTCGGAATCGTCGCCTAGCCCTTCGACAGAGACTCGCAGAGATCGTCTTTACCATCTGACAACTCAGCTATTGTGGAGGTTACAACAGTCATCTCCACATAAGGCAGCCCGCTCCAACAAAATCGTCCTCCCACAGCTTCCAGATGACGGCACCGACCTCACAAATGCAGCGAAGCCTGGGAAGCTGTGTCCCGGGCTAGAGGATTCGAGAGGAGCGTTGTATGAGATCGGAGTCTCGGACGATGGCACACTGGTTGGCTTGACCAAGGACGAAATGGATGATAGCCTGTTGACACTTCGAGTAATGGCCGCTAGTCTCGGATGCCATGTCGAGATCCTCCGCATGATCACTGTAGGAGACTGTGAAAGCGTCGAGACACCATCGGGAGTTGTAGACACTGATATTTTCCGAGCCGAAACCACACACAAAGAAAAGTTATGGGTCGCAGAGGCGTTCGTCAAGCCTGATATGGGAGGAGAAAATGAACATCGACAGCTCGAAGATCCCGCTCCACGTGCCAGCCCTCAGACGGCGACGCCAGAAGATAACCTCAGTGCAGAGTCTCTCACTTTAGATCAATTAAGGATAACACTGACAGGTCCCACAACATCCGGAAAGTCGACTCTGCTCGGAACGCTGTCGACGGGCACTTTGGACAATGGCTACGGCAAAAGTCGATCCTTCTTGTTGAAGCATCGACATGAACTCGTGTCAGGCGTGACAAGCTCTGTTGCTCAAGAGCTTATTGGATACCGAGAAGACCATATTCTTAGCTACTCCAACCCTGATATCGAGTCCTGGATAGATATTCACGACAGGGCCCAGAATGGTCGGCTGGTCTTCTTGTCGGACTCAGCCGGCCATACTCGTTATCGTCGGACAATCCTGCGAGGGTTGGTCGGGTGGTCGCCTCATTGGACCCTACTGTGCATACCCGCAGACGATGGTGAATTGGCTTCAAGCACCCCTGAGAAGACATCGCCAGCCCCTGATTTACTTGATCCTGCCGGGTCTGGCATCGATTTGACTAGGGCACATCTGAACCTATGCCTTAGCCTAGATCTGCCTTTGATCGTCGTGGTCACTAAGCTCGACCTTGCAACCAAAGTAAGCTTACAGCGCACGTTAGGGAAGATCTTATCTGGGATCAAGGACGCTGGCCGCATTCCTAAGATACTGCCAGGGCAAAGGTCCTTGTTGGATCCGACTAGGGTGCCTCCTGACGATAACAGAGCCATAAAAGCAATCACGGATCCGATGTTGGAAATGGGAAATATGACCAAACATGTTCCGATCGTCCTAACAAGCGCTGTTAAAGGCACTGGTCTAGGTTTGATCCATGCATTGTTGCGGAACCTTCCATTACCGCCCACTCCTACTGCTCAGGATTATATCGGAATGGCTCTCAACCCAGAGCAGCCATCCTCATTGTTCCATGTTGAGGACAAGTTCAGCCTTCCGGCATCATATGGCAATTCAGTAAAAACCGATGAAGAGCCTGATATGGGAACTGTCGTTGCCGGATATCTCAGGTTCGGGAGCTTGGCCGTTGGAGATCGTATCGTGGTTGGTCCTTTCCCAGCAGAGGATGATGATTCACGAACTTTGACACCAGATGACCGCCCATCCCCTGGCAATTACAGTTTGTCGCTTTCGCATCCTTCCTCTACAGAACTCAGCCGTATTGCTTTACGTAACGCTGTGTCCGCGTCAACAATTAAAGGCGAATGGCACAATGCGCGCATTGTCAGCATCCGCAACCTACGGCTGCCCGTACGGAAGCTCGAAGCTGGACAAGTTGGTACGATTGGTCTAGTGTTTGATATTCCGAACGAAAATCTTACAGACAGCATCTTTGAGGATGCTCCACGGACCATGCCGAAGTTACGGAAAGGAATGGTTCTAGCGATCCCCAGTAAACACATGATAGATACTGGGCTCTCGTTACAAGCTGCAAGTGGTCTGACTGCAACATTCTCTGACCCAGCAGTTGCCTCCTTGACAATAGGCAGCCTGGTGAATATATATGTTGCTAGTGTACGTGCTTCGGCTCGGATCCTGCGAGTTCGCCGAGAAAGGGCTCGGTCGGGCATGGAGCATACGTCTGCGGAAGTTATAGATGATGTATTCAGTCTGAATGATCAGATGGAGACAGAGGAACCAGAGCCTGTCGCTCATGACACTTATGAGGTCACACTCGAGCTATTAACTAACAGAGAATGGCTTGAGTTGGGGTCACAGATTGTCGTACTGGAAGGTAGCAGCAAAGACAGGTCTGGGCTTGAAGGCTTTGTTGGGAAAGTCGTGGAAATTGTGGATTGAGCTTCATATCGTTTGGCGCTTAGGGAGGCCAAAGCTTTGTATCAGCCAAAAATGGCTTCTGCACAGTAGGCGCAAGCATGGACAGCTTGGATTAGAATATACTGCTTTCATTTTTTGATACTAGATATCCTCAACCCACCACTGCTTCCATGCTCCATGGTATAAACGCCGAAACTCCGAGTCGATGTGCTGAGCGGTTACGACCGCCACTAAGCTCTTACCAGGCCGTAGAACAGTGTCCACGTCAAGATGAATCCTGCCAGCCCATTGAATAGCCCACTTGTCCAGAACTCAAATGACCCTCTGAAGTATCTGCTTGTATCAAAGAGCTTCTTGCCTGACGACAGTGATGTAGGTGCGACTCGGAATGTGTAAAAGAGGATCGCGGTGAGGAGGCTGAAGATGATGTAGAACAGAAAGCCACTGTAGGATTCGAGGCCCAAGATGCCCGCGCCAACACCGAAGAGGGAGGCTGTCAACGACTGGAGATTGGCCAGGGTCTGCAAGTGGAAGTCAGCAAAATATTGCTACGTGAGTAAATTGAGAAAAACAGCATACCTTGCTGTTGTGCATAACAGACTCCTGCACCACCGGGTCGATCTGAAGCTCCTTTTCCGAAGGCATCGCGACGGCCTTGCTGTCCACAGTTCGATCTGGACTGAGTCTCGTGATACGTTCCGGAAGAGCGGCGAGTCAGAGCTCGGGTTGACTGAAATGGGGAAGCCCGCTGTTGACCCTGCACTTTCGACCGATTGTCGTTATCCAGAAAGCTTGAAGTTAGCTTCGGTCCCGGTTGGCCACTTTGAAACTCGCAATGCAAGCTTCGGCGAGTAGCCAGCAAATCCATAGGCGGAGAGAGCACTAACCCGCGCCGCAGCAGGGGGGTATTGACGCGGCGCTCGGGGGCTGAGTTTTTCCTTGGGTGTTCTTCGCCTGCCACAGAGGGGATGACGTTTCATTAAACGCCACCAAACGGTCGGAAAATCGATGCAGGGGACCCTCGCAAGCACAGGCCTCGCTCAGCGGGCAAGGCGAGCTCCCCCCGGCTTGAGTTACTTTTAGTTAAATGAGCACCCTTGCACAACATCTCGTTGCCCGTTCAAGTTAAGATTGTGTGTATTTTGGGCCGCTGGCGCGCGAGACGTGCACTTCTGTCCTCTCTCTCCACTGTTTCCTGTGGTTTGCCTCACGATCCCCTATATGCCGAGCGCAACGCATCTGCAACACCTCCTGCTACAGATCTCCACGCTTGTTCCCGCGCGCGGCCTGTCGGTGTACGCCAGATGGATGCGACGACCGCCACAGCAACCCACACGACAGCGAATACCACATGGAGACGGTAATACTCGACCAGACGCCGCTCGCCGATTATCTCAAGGGTTTGTTGGACATCTCTACTCTCCCCGGACCTCTTATAGGCCCCAGCCACTTACTAACACGCGCTATGGCAGATGAGGGCGATGAACAGCCGAGGGAATGGGCTCTCGCGGAGCCAGACGCGATCATCGACACGCCTCCTCCCAGCCCTCCGAGTCCGTCCTTTGCCCCGGTAGGGCGGCCGATGGTGAAGTCACGGTTCAGGAATAAGATTCCGAACTCGCTGCGACTAGACATACCGCATAAGAAGAGGCTCAGTTCCCTCCAGAACTTGCAGGATGGAGCGAAAGCAGTTGCTACGAAGCTCGACCGTGCAGACAACTCCAAGTTTCTCGAGCAGTTCCGATATACCATCGTTGCATCCCAACTACTCAGCGGGGACTCTGTCTTGGGGCAGCATCGCCTCCTGGCTCAGAGCAACGGCAATACTTCAGTTGCAGATCACGAGCCCAGTATACCAACGGAGGCTGGCCTTCTTCTAACTGCTGCCGGGGCTCTAATCCTCGCCTGGGTCATCAGCTGGCTATGTGGCGGTGGATACTCGCACTTGACTAAGAAAAGAGTTGTATTTTTCGTTGGGTTGGTGGTGGTTGTTGCCGTTCTTTCACATACCTATGTTCGGCAACAATGGCTCCGATACGTACGGGAGCAGGCTGTGGCAGAGATGTCGTCTTTCGTTACCAAGTCACAGGATTTCGATAGTGCGGCGAGTGCGGCTGTTGCACTCATACAAGAAGTTGAGCTTGTCTCGAGGGGATATCGCATCAGCGTGCCCTTACCGCCAATAAGCCGGATCGATGATCGAAATCAGGGTCGTCGGTGTGTTCGGCTGCGGAAAGCCCTCAAGACTTCTTTCAAGGACATGCTTTTGAAGTATGAGCAGACCTTTGATGTTGTCAAGGGGTTTTCGGAGCAACTCGATCTCGAGAAATATCATGACATCTACGACATCAGCGATCTTGACATCTCAGATGCTCTGCAAGGATTTAAGGAGAGCGAGTTTGAGGACACTGAGTCGCTCCGAACACTAAAGATCGTGGCAGCTCGTTTTCACACGATGCGCAAGATGTTTCTTTGCGCATTACTTGCCCTCGAGGCACACGGTGACAACTCTGATTTCCTGCGCTGGACTACTGCGGTGGAAGGTCTTCGAGTACTTAATGAGGCTACCAGTGAATCATACGAGAGACTTAGGACCATCTTGAGCGAAGAGGAGTCATTCCCTGCAACTTCATCACTCAAGACGCCGCTCTCGCCAGGACGTGAACGATGGCGATCTCAACTCCGCAAATTGAACTCGCTCACCACTGGTATCCGTGGCCTGCAGGCGAAAATGAGCCTTTTGCGAGAGGAGTCTGATAGGGCTCTGAACGAAGCGGACGATGTTTCCGAGCTCGGACCAAGCCTCATGGCTCAATATGAGTCCATAGGACAAGACATCAAGATGCTGCAAGGGGCTTGGGAAGAAGGCAAGGCGGCATTGGCGTCAGGAATCAACAGGAACGAGAAGCGACTCTCATCCCTAAGCGCCATGCTCTCGCCTGCGTCCACCCTCAGCGGAATCACGACCGTGGAAGAAGGTGGAGTCGTCGATGCGTTAAAGATTCTGAACGGGGAGTCTCCCTCGCACAAGTATTCCACCGGTACTCCAAGCGAGCCCGACACTGAGGAAGTGTTCGAGGCCGTCGCCATGCCGCGGCCACGCAATCTTTTCTCCAGAGAGGAGAGGATTGCGAAGATGAAGGAGGACCGCGAGAGGAAAGCAGAGATGAAGGAGAAGGCAGAAGCAAGCCGTGGTATGCTTCGGGAGCTCGAAATGGTCATCAATCTGCGCCCGACCAAGGGCCGGCCAACGACGATGCCACCGCCGAGCCGCATTTCGTTATAATGAAGCGATCTTCCCCTTTTTACGAATTTTGCTCTTTTGGCGTAGCATCACATCGCTTTGCCGGGAGCGTCACGACATTAGCTAATGAACACATGCATGAAGGCGTATCTTCGTTTTCATTTTAACATCATATATAGACTCAGGCAAGCCAGCAGAGGCGTTTCATATGTGGGATATAGGACTGGGCGGCAGGGAGACACATATATACTTATCTGCTTTTGCTAGTGTAATTACAAGCTTTGAAAATAGTTATATAACTGTACAAAACCACGAAGAATCACTTCAGCTCCCTTCTTTCGTCCCTTGACTACCATTTTGCTTCGTTTACGTCTTAGAGATGGAGCTATCGATAGTTACCACTAGCGGCAAGGTAGGGGTTCATTACTGCTCCATGGACTACTTGAGATTCAACAAGATAGACGGTTGTCCTCTGTGAGAAAGATCTCAGTGTAAACCTTCGGTGATATGTGCATTTGGGTTAGACATGTTTAGGAGGAGGTTTGGTAGGGTAGTGGGTTGGTTAGGGGGCAGTTTACCTGAGCTTGGCTACCAACAAGCACGGGCCACATTCAATTATTGCCCCGCGTGTCTGACGAAAGGCTCGACGCGTTTTCCACGTCGCGCGCGTGTCTTGCCCATTAAACCCCAAAGCTGCCTGCACCAGCCCACCAACTCTTTCGCAAACAAGCAACCAAATTTCTCTCTGTGATACCATTGACGGCCTTCGACCTCAGCATTGCCTGTCCATCTCCTCTGAGTATATCCTCCAGACACATCCCAACATAACTCACATTCACAAACATCAGTACGTGCCCTCTTTCTGGAATTCCCCTCACCGACAAAACCCCCACCACCGCCCTGGGCAGTAACTGACCGTAGCAGCAATGCTTGAGGCACGATTGGAGCAGGCGAGCATCCTGAAGAAGGTGAGTCGAGCTTCATAGTGTGTTTCTTGTTATATAATCACCTCTCTAATTCATAATTCCCCATCAGGTGGTCGACGCCATCAAGGATCTCGTCCAGGACTGCAACTTCGACTGCAATGACTCCGGTATCGCCCTGCAGGCGATGGATAACTCCCATGTCGCGCTCGTGTCCATGATGCTGAAGGCCGAGGGTTTCTCTCCTTACCGATGCGACCGCAACATCGCGCTCGGTGTCAACTTGACCTCCCTGACCAAGGTCCTGCGTGCTGCCCAGAACGAGGACATCCTCACACTGAAGGCCGAGGACGCGCCCGACAGCCTAAACCTCGTCTTTGAGAGCTCTGAAAATGACAGGATCTCAGAGTATGACCTCAAGCTCATGGACATTGACCAGGAGCACCTGGGCATTCCCGAGACGGAGTACGCAGCCACAATTGCCATGCCCTCAGCCGAGTTCCGCAGAATCTGCACAGATCTACTGGCCATGTCTGAGTCCGGTATGTTCTTCACCAATATCTCCTCCTGACACTGCATTTCTGATAAGGGCGTTCACAGTCACTATTGAGGCATCCAAGGACGGCATCAAGTTCTCCTGCAACGGCGACATTGGCAACGGATCCGTCACCCTGCGCAGCTTCACAAACGTCGACAAGCCGGCTGAGAACATCGAGATTGAGCTGAGCGAGCCCGTCTCTTTGACTTTCTCCCTCAAGTACCTGGTCAACTTCTGCAAGGCTTCTGCTCTGTCCGGCCAGGTCAAGTTCTGCCTGTCCAACGAGGTTCCCCTACTGGTAGAGTACAACCTGTCTGGCAGCAGCTACCTGAGATTCTATCTGGCACCAAAGGTACGTGATAAAAGACGCTGTGGCGAGCAACTTTGGCAGAAGATACTAACAAATACTCACAGATCGGTGATGAGGAGTAATGGAATTAGGACGAAACACCTTGATGGGCTTTACATGTGGCGTGGCTGGCTACTTATATGATATGGACACAGTAGGGATAAAATGAGATGTTAGACCAAAGGCCTGGGGTCGAAATTACCGTGCTGGGAAAGATGATACGACTCGTATGCCCCCAACTTACCTTATGTTAATGAGAAACACACATTCAACCAATCTTGCTCTCGTGCTTTTTGTCCCCTAACCCACGGCGATAATTGAACTGAATAATCCTCCAGTCTGCTATTGGGCGCATGCACGGGGCAAGCGGGGGTACCTGACTTACCTGAGTCGAGGAACGCTGAAAACAGACTGCGCGGGGCATGTCCATATTGGAGGGGTTCTATCCGGCAGTGTGGAACGACCACGCTGCAGCGTCATTTCTAGAACTTTTTTTGGGCGACGCTGCGGTTATCGGCGATGCCGCTACGGCTTTCGTTCGTTTGTTAGTCATTCCCTAATCTTTCTGCTATGGATCTTCTAAGACTGATGCGCTAGAATTCCTTATCTCGTTCCTGTTCTTTCCTCAATATATCTTACTTTCGCTATTTGAAGAGCCGTTTTGGGTCCCCTCTTGTGAGTCCTTCCGGAACTGCAGGTGTTAAGCCGCACCTCGTACGATACTCTATGGGAAGCGTGCGGGATACTGTCCCCAGCTCGAGCAACATGGCAGGAGACTTGCCAATCCCTGAGACCCGCGTCTTAGCGATCGCCAGTCATGTAGGGAACATTTTCAATTCTTGCCCGTGGTCGTCGTCCAACTAATTTGTTTGCACAGGTCGTCTCGGGGTATGTCCCATGCTTGCGCCGCTAATCACCAGGCTCTTGCGCTGACTCTGGAGCAGTTATGTGGGCAACAAGATTGCCGTCTTCACCATGCAGTCGCTAGGGTGCGACGTTGCGGCGCTGAACACTGTTCAGTTCAGTCAGTTTTCCGTGGTCCACTTCTAGGCGCATAATCTGACAGTCGTCGTTTCTGCAGGTAATCACACCGGATACAAGCAGTGGAAGGGCACAAGAGTATCGGCGCAGGAGATCACAGACCTCTTCGAGGGGCTCAAGATGTCATACCTCGACAACTTCGACATGATGCTGTCGGGCTACATACCCGGCGCTCCAGCGGTGTACGCCGTCGGCAAGATCGCGGAGGAGCTCAAGACGAAGGCGAAATCGCAGCCGGGGAGCTTCTTCTGGGTGCTGGACCCCGTCATGGGCGACAATGGCAACTTGTATGTTGCGCAAGACGTGGTGCCGGCGTATAAGAGCCTGATCCAGCATGCGGACTTGATATTACCCAACCAATTCGAGGCAGAGTACGGGAGGCATGATTCGAATCACAGGAAGCTGAGCTGACGATATGATATAGACTGCTGTCAGACGTCAAGATCACAGATATGGACTCCCTAGCGCAAGCTGTGCAGGTCCTCCACGAGCGCTACCAAATACCACACATCGTCATCACGTCTGTTTCCCTAGAACATCCCGACCACCCGCAGTCCTCTTTATCTGTCGTCGGATCGACAATGACCTCGGACCGCAAGGCGCGCTCCTTCAAGATCGTATTCCCAGCTATAGACGCCTACTTCAGCGGCACGGGAGACATGTTCGCGGCGCTGATGGTGGTGCGCATGCGCGAGGCGGTGCACAATAGCAGCGAAGCCGGGCTTGAGCAGCAGGAGTCGTGGATCAGCGAAGATGGCGTGGCTGCGGTGGACCTGCCGCTTGCGAGAGCGACGGAGAAGGTGCTCGCGAGCATGCACGAGGTGCTGACGAAGACGTGCGACAGCATGCGGGCCGAGGTGAAGAAGGGAGAGGCGTCGATGGTGCATGGGACGGAAGAGGAGGACGCAAAGGCGTTGCGTCTGATCAAGTCGAAGGCGGCGGAGTTGAGGCTCGTTAGACACCTGGGCTCTTTGAGGGAGCCGGTGGTGGAGTTTCGTGCGCAAAAGATGTGAGCGAGGTCCCTGAGCATTTAATGGTTATATAGGAGCATTTGGGCATTGGGGCTTGCATAGACTTTTACGGGCCATTCCTGGTCATCATTGCGATAGAAAATTATATTGATGGGCCTTCTAGCAGAACGCCTTAATTGACAAGACCTTAGTTTGTCTATTCCGTTGTAGCAACCAACCTTGAGCTCATTTGATATCCTGTTCCTCATACTTGTCGTAGCAAGCCATAGCATAAAATCACGTTCTGGATTTCGCCTGCAGAGACCTCATTCTTCTCCGATGCTGGGCGACGCCCTGCCAGAACTTGAACAACGTGCCTCCAACCATGACGACGACGAGGAACAGCACGAAGTAGATCATCGGCCAGTCCGGCACGCGCATCTCCTGCTGCTCTCCGTCCCGATCATCATGCCCGTGGCTCTTCCCCGTTAAGCGGCGCTGCTCGTCTGTCTAGGCCGTGCCAGTGCTGCCAAAGCCGCCGGCGCCGCGCACGCTCTCCTCGAGCTCGGCCACCTCGACGACCTCCGGGGTGTAGATGCGCTCCAGGACCAGCTGCGCGATGCGGTCGCCCTCCTGGATGGTGAAGTCGGCGTCTGAGTGGTTGAACAGCAGCACCTTGACCTGGCCGCGGTAGTCGGCGTCAATGACGCCCGCGCCCGTGTCGATGAAGTGCTTGGAGGCGAGGCCAGAGCGGGGGGCGATGCGGCCGTCTGTTGAAGGTTACCATGGTCAGCCGACAGCACGTCGTGGGAAAGTGCTAATAGGGGGAGCTTACAGGTGCCAGCAGGAACAGCCATGCTGATGTCGGTGTCAACGAGGCCCTTGCCGCGCGCGGGGATGACAGTCTCCTTGGCCGCGTAAATATCATAACCGGCGGCGAAAGCGCTGCCACGGGTGGGAGCGCGGGCTTTGTCGCTCAGCTTCTTGATCAGCAGCGGAGGTGACTGCTCCAGCAGGGGCACGGCGACGCCGTTTCCGTTCTCGGCAGCCATCGTGGGAGCTGTGGACGTGGAGGTTGTGCTGTCAGTCTTGACACGCTTTGCGGGAGGAGAGGTAGGTGGTGACTGAACGGCGGTGTTGTCGGCGGTGGTCATGATCTTCTAGAACCGAGATCTAGGAGTTGGAGGAGGTAAGGTAAAGAGGTGCGATGATACGATGAGGTGGAGTAGAGGGGTTGCTAGGTGGCTGGAAGGGGTGTAAGACGCGTTCACGCGTCGCGTAAATGACCTTTTGATTGGCCAATTCGTCGATTTTGGAAAGGCAAGTAAAGATAAAGGTGAATGTATGGTCGCAATAAATTACATGCCTAGTTTCATAGATAAATGGCACGGGGTATTCAGCTATTGGAATAGCCAAATTGATGGTTTTCAACTTGGAGACGTTGGTTAGACAAATGTTTGGTCCCTTAATTTTGTCTCACATGAAGCATAGGTTCCTCATGGACCGATATAGGGTTTCTTAGCGGCGAGTATTACAATCTCATGTCTTATCTGAATAACAGAAGGCCTTATTGAGCATCGAAGGCCCGACTTCTACTTAGATGCTTTTGTGCACAGTATTGAATGTTTGTCCGATATTGAAATTGATCTCTTGAAGTAAGGAGCTAGTCATCGATCTCGCGGCCAAAATCTATTAGTCGCAACCTGGTAGCATCTCGGGGATGGAACTGTGCAACCTTGGCTCTGACTAGAAACCGACTTGCAGCAGTTTCTCGTGGGATTATCACGTAGGCTGCCGAGCCGTCGCCTCCTGAGTCCGTGAGCGCGTTGAGCAACTCCTCTGTTAACTCTCGCATCTCTTGGCCAGCGGCAACAGCTTCATTCCATTCCTCTTTGGCCTTGCTATTCTGGCGCTGCTCAGCTCCCCAAATATCATCGATGCGGCGCTGTCGTTTGTCCTGATTCTGATTTTGTTTTACCTTCTTCAGCTTTCCATGCGCGCTGAAGCCGGCATTAAGGTCGTCTGCATCGACGTCCATCATATCGCCAACAACCGGGCCGCCTAGTTCTTCTGCTGCTAGCATTACCCCAAGATGATCGTCAATAAACTTATTCAAAGCTTTCAAGAGCTTAGACGTGTCCTTGTCGTAGCCTCGCTTTTTCTGCTTTAGTTCATTAATCTTCTCCTTGGTGATCTCCTTAGGGGTCATCTCCATTCTTGACTCTAAACCATCGCGAAGCGACTGAATACGAGCCTCCAAGCTCTTCTGAAGTGCCTTCTGGTCATTGAGATTGGCTTGCTCAACTTCCAAGCGCTGGTTCGCCTTCTTCAAGGAGGTCGCCTGAGACGCGAGGTATTCCCGTGACTCGGCAATAGTACGATGCGTGTTCCTCAGGGCAATCAAGGCCGGGAGGACAGAGTCTGGGAACGGCAGAAACGGATCAGATGTGGTGACATCCTCATAGGCCTTAGTCATGATCTCCATTGAAGCTATTGTTGACTCCACGGGCCCGCCATACTGGCGAATGGGCGTCTCACGCAGCTGTGGCTTTTATTAGACTGATACCGGCCGGCCGGTTGAGGAGACCGGAGGGGGAGGGATGTTGAAACGTACCTTGGACAAGGCCAGTTCATGCTGGCGGACCTTGTCCTCGAGCTCTCTGACGGAGCGATCTAGGTAGCCCGCGTGCAGATCGTCGCTGGTGACACGGTGCGATGGGTGGTCCATGATACCAAATAAGAGACTCACGCTGCAGTGATGTTGTGCTATGGAGTTTACGCGTCTTGATGAACGGGTCTTGTGAATTGGGTTCCTGGACCGTCTAGCGTTTGTTTCGTTTCCTAGTGGCAATAGGGCGGATAAGGCTTCAAGTAACGCTATATGCCCAGTCTGCTCTGGATACCGTATTTGTTACCGCTATAACCTCAAACTACCTAGGCTTGAAGGACGAAGCTTGTTATGTGTGCCCGTGTGGGCAGGGGTCCAGGCTTGGATGAATCAAGGAGTTCTCGAGAGCGTCGTCTCCGTTTCAGGCGAGTCCACATGTGCTCGTGTTACATCGACGCGGGAGAGGCTGCAGAATGTCGCGATACCGGATCGATCTTGAGCAAACCTTATTCTCCCAGTGAACGGCCCTTTCTATTGAGAGCTCTTGCCGTGTGTCAGCTTGAGATATCGCGTCAATGAAATAGCTTCACGGTCAAGCCTGTTTTGCTGCGATGCATCTTACACAGCTGGGTACAGTACTACCAGCGCGGCGTCTTTTGAAATCTCACACAATCATTGGTATGGTGGCAGCTTGGGAAAGTGCGACTGGGGTGCCTGCCCAGTTACCGTTAGCGCCCAGCTTGGACTTCCCCACCGAGAACATTCCCCGCTAAATTGGAATTTAGAAGGGCCTAACTTCCCTCTCAGTGCCGGAAGGTGAGCCTTTTAGCCCCAAGCAGCAGCACAAAGAGCCGAAATCAGAACTGTGGTCCGCTGCCGCACAGGCACACAGGGCAGCATTTGGAGCCACCCAGACTGCAGATCGGCGCACAGTTTCATCTCAACGCACCTAGTAGTGACTGCTTGACCTCACCTTTTTCACACTCTCTCTTTCTGCCTCTCTGCGTCTGGTTTTCCCACCCATCAACCATCCATCCCCCATTCCCCATCTCCATTCCCATCCCTTTCTCCTGCGAACGAAGATCAATCGTTTCCTCTTCTTAAGCATTCCCGCCGCTAATCTGCTCATTTCCCCCCCTGTCCTTGTGCCCCCTTGACTGACCAACGGACCTCTCTGACAACCTGTCTGTCTGGCCGTCTGTTTGTCGTCTCGTTGCACGTACGTAGCCGTCACTGTTTCAGCGACAGGAACAGCGCAAGCAGCCCCCGTCGACGGAGAGAGACCCACTTCCCTCTTCTGTTCTTCCTTGCAAAATATATCACCGCCTCCCTCGAACGCTTGCCACCTCCTCCCACCTCCCACCTCCTCGCCCATTCCGATCGATCTTCCAGCTTCCAGCGCCGCCTTGACTCACATCTCGCAGCAAACGGCACCACGAGGGGGAGACGCAGCTGCAGCAGAGCTTTCATCAAAGGGCGCTAGCTTGTTCTACCATTTGGTGTGGGGAATCAGAAAACGCACGCCAAGACCAAAGCTCATCCAGCAGTGAGAGCAAGGTGAATCTTCGGGTGCTTGCTCCTGTTTGTGACAGAGCAAAGGTTTGAGAAAATTGGTTCTCTATCCTCGCCTACTGCTTTTACAGAGCTTCCACCACCTCCCGTCACAGCCTCTTCGACTTCTTCTGGCGTTCTTTGAGTAACTCACCTACCTAATACCTCTCCTTCCGCGTCCTTTGACCACCTACCTAGCCTCTACTCTTCTCTCGCCCATTCCTCACCTACCTACCTTACGCAACACCAACACCAACACCACTACTGCTGCTATATCCACCTGCCCGGCAAGCAAAGCTCCTCCGTCGCCCATTGTCTCCCAGCAGGCTACTTCACCTCTCTCTATCTCCGCCAGTCCAGTCCACCAGAGGAAGAGCTTTCTCTCCACTACTTCACGTACTCTCTACAGTACCAGTCAACCATCCATCTAATCTACCACATTCCTTGCGGCCTCTATCGCGTCACTTCATCGGTCCTTCCTCGACCTTCCCAGATATTCCGACCTGTGCAAGCTCGTTCGACCCGCCACTACACCAGCACGTTTTCCTTTCGAAAACCCCAAAGGTGTAGATAGGAAACAATTAATTCAAAAAAAAAATTCAACTCGACCCCCGTGCGCAAACGACCATCCCTCTACACCATTGAGAGTGAAACCCCAGATTCAGATTTGATATTCAGCAAAAATGTCGGCCTCACCCCAGACTACACAGTCCACCAAGCGTCCCCTCGAGGAGACATCTTCTCCTTCTCGTACTGCCGACCAACCTGAGGCAAAGCGACCAGCCCTCGACAAGATCATTCGCAGTGACGAGGAGATTAAGACCTCTCAGCCTGCAGAGAACGGCCATGCCACTGCTGCTCCTATCACCGCACCTGATGCAAACGGCGAGACAACTACCAATGGCGATAAGGTCAAGGCGGAAGGAAAGGATGAGCAAGGAGACACCATAGTGCCAGATGTTTCTGAGACGAAACCCATCACCAGCACTGGCCCAGCAATTCCTACCCAGGCACAACCCACAAACACTCATGATGAGACCGCATGGATCCACATTCGAGCTGTTATTACCAGCCCCGAGGCTGCCACCATCATTGGCAAGGGTGGCGAGAATGTTTCCAAGATCAGACAGATGGCACTGGCCAAGTGCACTGTCAGCGACTACCAAAAAGGAGCTATTGAGCGCATCTTGACCGTCAGCGGCAACGTCGATGCTGTCGCCAAGGTAAATTGATCTTTTTCTTGGGATTGCTCCCGTTTGCAATGGCACTAATGTAAAATGTACAGGCTTTTGGGTTGATCATCCGCACACTGAACAATGAGCCTCTGTCTGAGACCTCGAACGCTCACTCCAAGACTTACCCGCTTCGTCTTCTGATTCCCCACATTCTCATTGGGTCTATCATTGGCAAGGGAGGTGCCCGGATCAAGGAGATTCAGGAGGCGTCAGGCGCTCGCCTGAACGCTTCAGACTCGTGCCTACCCCTTTCTACAGAGCGATCGCTGGTGGTCATGGGCGTCGCAGACGCCGTGCACATTGCGACCTACTATGTTGGCAGTACTCTTCTAGAGCAGCTTAATGAGCGGTTTGGAGGCCCCGCAGCATCTGCTTATGCCACCAGAAGCGGCGGCCCGGCTGGTGTCGTCCCTGGCGGCATGCAAGTTGTCCCCTATCTGCCCCAGCCCGCCAGTGGCAACTATGGCAACCGCGAGAACTATGGTAGACATGGTCGCCATGACCCCCGAGCCCATCACATCCCGCCAAACCCATATGCTCCACAGCCGTATGGCGCCCATCCTCAGCAGACTCCACAGCCGAACGCCGCTATGCCTATGCATTACGGCGCGCAAACCGGCGGTGCCTACGGTGCTGCCCCGATGCAGCCCCATCAAGCACCTCATGTTGGCCCTCAGCCCCATGGCGGTCCCCAAGCCCAGCCCATGCATGGCGCCATGGCAGGTGCCCCTCTGACCCAACAGATTTATATTCCAAATGATATGGTCGGCGCAATTATTGGTAAGGGCGGCCAGAAGATCAACGAGATCCGACAGATCAGTGGCAGTGTTATCAAGATCAACGAGCCGCAAGACAACAGCAATGAGCGTCTTGTCACAATCACAGGCACGGAGGAGTGCAACCGCATGGCTTTGTACATGCTCTACTCTCGACTTGGTGAGATGAAGAACGCCGCGTTACGACCAGATTTCAGCTCAAGACGCTAACACGATTGACCAAATAGAAAGCGAGAAACACCGAATCTAAAACCTCGATACCCACTATTAACACAGCACTTCCAAGATGCTACCGTGTCGTCGTACAGTCATATGCGATGATAAACCATATCATGATGGATTGGGCCAGGGGTTAGACGGTTAAGGGGAAAAGTTGTTATGGGTATTGTTAACATCTAGCAATTCTCCCTTTCTGGATGCGTACACACATCTCACGAATTCACGGCTCTCTGAACGGGTTCATTAGCATGAACGGTCACATAACAAATCTTCTAATAGCACAATCTTTCGTTTCTAACTTCACTGCTGCACTTGTATCCACGAGACCCTGAATCCCTGATCCTGATGGCCTTTCCTGGTGTTTCCTGGTGTTTCCTGGTGCACTGCTCCCTTAATATGAACCATTACGTCGTGGTTTACTGTCCGCAAACCGCAATCATCCGTGTGAACCTCCACCCAGATTTACAGAAACGCACATCACTTCCTAGAGCGACTAAATCTATAACACTCACTTCCCACGTATTAAATATCTTTTTTTGGTCACGTTTATTGCAGTGTACCCAGTGCTAACTATGTGTTAGGCAAGGCCTACGGTCATATTTCAACATCAATTCAGATGATCGAAGACGAGGTAAAGTATTCTGTTTTGGTTTATCACGGTTACGTGCAAGGAGAGTGCATCATGATACATTCTCAGATTTCTTCGGAGACAAAGCAATGACTCTTTCTTTATCAATCTTAGGTCTTATAACATCATGATATCTCATCAATGACAAAACGCCAGCCATCCTTAACCTGTTCTTCAGCTCCGTATCATACAACAATCCAGACTCATAATGTCATTCGTTGGAGCAGTGAAATGCTCTCTCCCCAGATCAGAGCATCACCGTCTATTTCTTAGTCGCGTCGTTCGGCGTGCCTCGAACCCAGCTACGTAGAGCATTAGTACAATCTCATTGGTAGACATGATATATAACGGGAGAGAAATCTTACCTCTCCCACATTTTGCCAATGAAGCCCGGCTGAGGTCTCTGTTCATTCATACTCTGGCGTCTCGCTACCGAGCGAGGGTCGTCTGAACGCTTCTGCTGGTGTAGCGAGGCGAAGAGTGTGCCCGAAGCGCGGCGGGGAGCCGTGCCGGCAGACTCATTGGAGGAGGTAGAGTTGGATCTCTCGTCACGATTCATGGTTGTAGTTGTCTTGTTCTTCACGTATGTATGCGTGATTGTGTATTATCGATGTTGATTTTAGGAAACTTGACGGTTATCTCAGGAAATTATGGAGAGCAGGAAAGATGAAGAAGAAGAAGGTTCACAGACAGGGCGAGCGGGGTATATATTTAGTTACACGACACGAGCACAGGTAGCGAAAGCATGTATGAGACCCCTCAGGGCTGAGTCCAGAACCGCCGATGATGCCTCAGGAGGACTTTCTCTGCCCATCTGCTGCTTTCACAGGCTTGGTGACCACCACACCTCTTCCCGTCGGGGTGGGCCAATGAGAATGACATCGTGTCTCAGGGTTTATCTCAGGGAGGGAAGCGATCATCATGACTTCACCAATGACAGGAGCTGGAGGCTGCTACGGGATTGGATGTTCAGGGGAATTTCACTGGGGCCACATTGGGCTGTCCACGGGGAGGCGCGGCGGAAACCGAAGGCGCAAGTCACTGCGTCCTATGACGATACCTGTCTTGCCCGTTGCGGAATGGACGGGCGAGTAGGTCCCCTGATATCAAGGGGCAAGTCTCATTGAGGAGAAAGTAGACATCAGATCATGTTTTGTTCGGGGGAGTGCCTACCCCGCAAAAAGGGTGGTAGTCTACTGCACAGTACTCTCCGGGCGGCATTGGGGCTGATTCATGGCGAGGTGGTGACCAACCAGATGCGCTCGATTGTCAGAGCAGTTCTGGTATGTCTAGCCCGTAGCTACCCATCAGATTGTCTCATCGCGGCCACCCAAAAGGGCACCTTAGAGCTCGTCATCTATTGCACTTACTAATGGGTCTACTTTGAGGAGCCAAACCCTTACAGCACGCGATAAATTGCTGGGAGTGGGAGCTTCAGGATCTGGACCCTGGGGCCTCTGATCGTCGTCAGCGGTGGTCATCTGACGATGTCAAGTAAGTCGCCGACGTTCATCACCCTCAAAAGCTCGGAGACCGAGCTGCTCCTGCTTTACTACTTCTATTCAGTTCCGAACCGCGCGGTTGCTTTGTAATGAAGCAAACAACATCGAAAGAGCGAAAGGACCGAGACGGCCGTAGTCCGCCAGCGTGCCTACCACCGTAGAGAGTCAATTGGCGTGGGCGTGACGACGACCGCGAAGGGCAAGTGATGACCAGCATGTAGTAGCCCATGCATGACGTTTGATGTTCAAAGAATGGGGCAGGCCAATTGCTAGCGTTGGGCGCGGGGAAAGCTTACCTGCATGCGCTAAAGCACCCTGGCCTGGCTGAAAACGCTCTAGTTGCCATTGGAAGCATTGAAGTCACGTGCTTGTCGCGAGGGCCTCTTTGGAGGGCTTTTGTTACCCCTTTTTCAAACTCCTCGTGGATTTTGGGAGATCGATATAACTTCAATACATAGAGTTGTACATCTATAAATTTATCTCAACTTGGGACCATACATTCTACTGCTAGGCTGTTGAAGTGAGGTAGTAATCATCTTGTAGGACAAACCTCTAATGTAAGCCAGTTTAATTATCAAACAATGCGAAAACGATTTTTGGAAAGTTGCAATCACATTCTCGTAGTTATGGAGGCCTCGGTAAGGTCTATCATATGTTTGTCGAGAACCATAATACAGCAGTGTTTCTCACGTTACGTGTTCTGGTGGCTTCTCAACAGTAGATGCGTTGGCCGCGAAACCATGCAGCATGTGGTGCGCCTCATGTAGCTTAGTCAAGAATTTGTTGAAAGTTATGCAGCAGTAAACCATGGCTATTTTGGCTGTTCTTGGTGTGTTGATGCTTGTCAGGCTGCGAGACGACACGGTACTATATCGGTGAGTTAGTTTGCTCCTATCTAGTGAAAACATGTTACACGGGGGCCGGAGCTAATGCCCCAGCCCTACGTGCTTCAAGTCTTACTCGATCGAATCGCCCAGTTTTGGTTTGTGAAACATATTGTACAGTGTCTTCGTACTCGACTTTCATCATAGCCAAATTTTGAGGTCGGCATTTAATACGCTGAAGATAATACGAAAAGTCTTCTGAACGCCTGAGAACATGGCTTCGATCCCTGAAGATTAGTCCACTCTTCAATACTCACTTCAAATTTGTGGAATCCATGACTTTCATTAGCTGATCAGATAACTGCTCAAGTAGTATGAGTTCGGCAAGTCACAAGCAACGGACCTGTCAAGTACAATGCAATAGGCTTTTCATTTTCTTGTGGCATAGAGAGCCTGTCTAGATGTTCCCACAAAAAGAGTGTAACAACAGTGAAGGAGTGTGATCTTTCTAAAACGCCATCCGATGCAAATTCCGACCGATGGGGAGCCGCCCCGACCTCTCTAGGACATGCCAGTCCAACCCATGATGCATAGAACAAAAGGAACCCAGAGATGCATGCACCGTTTCCAGAGTTGACGAGACCGAACCGCTCATGCCAGAGTCAGAGTGTTGAAGTGAGAAAGAAGAAAGAGGCCGCGAGGCAGCTTAGTAGTATTTGCAGATGACCTCGGTCTGGACCTGAGGAGGGCCAATGGGGACGTTTTGCTGTGGTATCATGTTAGTAAGACTGCTCAGTGACAATGGGGCTCCGACTCAGTGTGACTTACAGCAGAGCCGTAGACATAGGTGACGCTTCCGTCGATGCCGTGGGCCTCGCACTTGACGTTGTAGGCTCCATCGCTGGAGATGTAGGTGAAAGAAAGGTCGGAGTCGACGGTCTTGCTAGATCCGTCGATGGGGAAGGCATCAGTGAAGGTGTTCTCAGCAGCAGCCCAGAAGGTGAGGTCGACGTAGTCGGTGCGGCGAGCCTTAGCAGAGGGAGCAGCGGCAGCAAGGCCGGCGAAGAGGGCAGTGGCAGCAGCAGCGAACTTCATTGTGAAAGTGTAAGTTGATTTTGGAGATGGTGTGAAGTGAAGTGTTGTTTGAAATGTTGGAAGATCTGGAACTGTGATGATTGTGCTGATGATGATGATGATGAGAACAACAGACGACTTGAGTCGAGAAGGGCGACCATCTTTATATCCAAAACATTGCGCTGTTGTCGGTAGGGCATCTAGTTCCCTTAGGCATCTTGAAAGTAACGTTCATCCGTGATCACTTTGAATAGAGTAAGCATGTTGTGTTGCCTGCTGTGGGCTTCTTCAATCACGGACCGGCGGATCTTAGCTGAGCCTGCGGCTGTGAAATGTTACAACTGACTATGTTGAAGCTATTACCAAATTCGATGGTATCTCTAAGCTGCCTGTTTGCTTGACCTTGAGTGCTGGATGTAGGGTACGATATTCACTGATTGGCCGGCTTGCGCAGGTGCTGAAATCTAAAATAAGCAGCCATGGCTTGTTGGAGGAACACTGGCGTTCGTCCGCCAAGGCTGAAGAGGCTCGACTTTTTGGAAGACTTAGGCTATTTCCAGCGACCAATACGCAACTTGGGCCGATTTCATTCGTATAATGCAGTTTACTACCTAATCGGAGGCATAACCCGGAGAGATCCGCGCCTGTAGAAGCCTTCCAGAAAGCTAGAAACCAGGCTGAGCACCTCCTTCTCCTTCTTAGATAGGGTACCGATGGCCTTCCCCGGCGTATAACCTACCTTTCAAAAATACGGACAGGGCGGCGTCTAGTAAGCGCAAGCGATATCCCATTGCCTTATTGCGTAGGTTACTGAAGATCGCATCACGCCCCATGGATGAAGGATGCCAGCCGAGGCGAGAGTCGGCCTCGTACAAGCCCCAGCTACGATGTGGGAGGATCAGGCTACTTCAATGCGCCGAGTGCTCCGATATGCGAGTTTGCGCTGCACGAGAGACAGCAAGAGGTTGAGCCACGTTACACGTGATTGATGATTACCGTTTTGGCATCTGGGGGAGCATATCCACTCTCGGTAACCAATCAGCGTAGGCCACGGCCTGTGGCTCAGCACAGGGCTGAGGGCACATGGTGCATCGAGGTGGTCAGCACTCAACAGCCTTCTTCACGACATCGCCATTCCCGGAGTGTGCTAGGCTGCCTGATTGCGCAACTATGTGCGCTCCCGCAACTGGCGCAATTCCTGGAGCCGGCACTACAATGCTTTCCCCAGATGTGGCGTGCGTGATGCCGAGCTCGATGCTACCGCATGTTGCTACGATGTGTTTCGTGTTCTGCGCTTACCCAGCCTCCTCATATCTCACCTCAGAAAACCCTCTCGGATCTCGCTTGAAGCTGTGCTTCGGCTGTCTCAAGTTTTCTCAGCCCTGCCCAGCCCCCTAGAATGAGTGCTTCTTGGCATTGGTGAGCATAGCTGTGTCATAATGCTCGCCTCAGCCGAGAAGTTGAAGCCTTTTCTGGATCTGGTAATGCCGCGGAGGGCAATTTGGCTATGGTAACGCCGTGGCGGATGAGCTCGGTTTGTCGAATGGTTTGACATGGTACGACATTCGCAGCCTGGATTAGCCGGAGCTTCTTGATCATAGCCTTCTCCTCCATTATGCGCATATCGTCATCAGTCCTCGAATAGCAACCTAGGACAAACGGCAGCGAGGTCAACAGCATTGCATAGCAAAGAGAGAGCGTGTGTATGCTGAACATGAGAGAAACCAACGACTCTCTAGTCCAAGCAAGACCACCACCCAGACATACGATGCTGTCGAAGAGCTGCGTCATAATGGACCTGCTTCAGAGTTCAACAGCACGGGAGGTGGTCTAAAGCTTAATCGACGGGAAGCTATTCCGCTCAAGATGACGGCAAAAGCGTAGATGGTGCGCAACGGTGGAGCTTATCAGGTCTTGCACCATAATGTTGCCACCTTGGGTAACACCCGTGGACACCTCGATGAGCCGGGTGCAAGCGCCTCGGCGAGTGTTCGTGGTCATCGTCAAAGCTGACGATGGTCATGTGTGGTGCGATCTTGAGGCCGCCAAAAAGCTTGCTTCAATCGGGGTTTTACTGCCGGCGGGAACGGCCTGGGACTGAAACTTGTCACCCTGGGTCTCAAGAGTGGCATCGTGGTTAAACGGTACGATGGTGGCAAAAGACGTTCTTTTGAGTGTGCTGGTCCCGAAGTCAACTTGTGGCTGGCAAGTTGCGGCTCTTGCCTCCCAGCCTCACTCTACGGTTCTGACTCAAACCAAGTATCACGGATTTTATCGCTTGTCCTTACGGACGCATGCCTCTTCCGCGACGAGCCCCAAGATTTAACACGGCTTTGACTAACAGAATCATGATTTTGGACTGACAGCATTTGTTCGCGTGTGTTTCTGCAGCAACAAACCATCCTTGTGCATTCTTCGTGGATTTAGGCCACGTGAAGTCAGTGATGATCATGCCCCTTCAAGGGATGAGATCGTCAGCGTCATTCGTGGTGTGCCCATGGTGCAAGCCCCACCTGCCTTTTCATTGTCCCCTTTCTTCTCGCCATACCGTTGGAGCATTGCGACACGTTGAGCCACCTGTTTTGCATTACCAAGTAGGCAAGTGTTTGACAGGAGACTGCGGCGGGAAACGTGCGCCACCGACGTTCTGGCTAAGACATGCTGCCGATCGTCATGCCCTATGCGAAGCGGCTCTTGTTGTGACAATAAGCTTAAGAATGCCAAACCCCACAGGGTCTGTCTCAACACGGGAGCTTTAGTTTAACTGTTGAGTTTATTTCGGCCTGTCAACAGCATTGCCAGCCTGTCCTAGGGATGCTACTGGTCAAAGTCTCGCGGCTTGCCTCTGACCCGTCCAACCCACTAACGGGCCACTGGTGTCCGGTGAAGTATGTTTGACAGCCATGACGTCTCGCCAGATGCCAGCGACTGCAACATTCTAAGCTTCATTGTGATCGACTACTACTGCGGTTGTAGCCTTGATCCCCGCGTACTATGAAGGACTATGGGGTTAGCTCTGGAGTTTGGTCAACTTGTTAATACTGTTTCATAGTTGGGCGCGGCCGAGAGACATGCCGAGTCAGTCAAAACAATGAGGCTATCTCATAAACACGCCCTCTACGTAGGACGGGCTCAAGTTTCAGAAAGTCTATCTCGATATCATGGCAGAGGATTTTCTATAAGAGCTGTCGATATCTTCCTTTCTGGGATCATGTTTTGCTCATCAGCTCACCAGTCTTACTCCAGCATCCACTTCAAGCAACAGCTTCGACTTCTCAAGTCGTAATATTTAATATCACTTTCAAGTACTTCGCTTTTCGCGTAATATAAACAGACTCAAAATGAAGGCCGTCGCTGCTGCTGTTGCCCTCTTCGCTGGCGCTCTCGCCACTCCCCTCGCTGCCCGCCAGGGCACCGTTGGTGGCGTTGACAGCCTGACCACCATCTGTGGTCAGGTCGAGAACCTGGTCGATACCCTCAGTGAGTAGATCTGAGACGGTTCTTGGAATCCAATACTAATAAAATCACAGCCAACACGGTGAGCGCCATCACCACTCCGGCTCAGCTGACGCAGGCCCTGCCAGCTATCGTGAGCGATCTCACCAACCTGAACACTACACTTGCCCCCTTGGGAGCTATCCTTGGTGTTCTGGCCCCTCCAGCTGTTCCAGTTGTTCCATCTGTCACGGTTCCGGGGGTCCCAGCCGTTCCGACTGTTGGAACTGGCGGTACCGGTACTGGCACGGGGGGCAACAACGGTGGTCTTCTCTGCGGTCTTAGCCATATCCTCCGCCGCCAGACTGGTGCTCCTATCACCGGCCTCGGCGACCTGGACGATATCACCAACGTCCTCACTCCTCTCGTTCAGATTCTTAGCTCTGTCCTGAACGCTGTTACATCTCTGGTTGGCATCAACAGTGAGTACAACCACTACTTCTTCAAAATAGACAATTACTAATTAATATCGATAGGCCTGACTGGTACCCTGACCGGAGGCGAGAGTGACCAGCTGACTGGCCCCCTAAGCGGTATTCTCGGTACTGTTGGTGGCCTTGTCCCCGTTGCCAGCATCACCCAGCTCCTCAACCTCAAGGCATAAGCGTAAATGCTCTGGAGAATAGCATAATTTACTCTCGTATTACATTCTTCGGGAAAGCTTGATTTTGGGAGCATTGGTGCATATTTGGTTCAATGATGATACTTTTAGTATATCTTTATCTGTAATCACGATTAATGGCATTGCAAAAATTTCACCTTTATGGATATGTTCTTGGAAAATTGTGATACTTTGTAGCATCGAAAATTTTGTTTTGTATTTTTGATATGGTATGTTCGAGTGGTGATCAGAAGAAAATAATGATATGAAAAAACTCGCGTCTTGGTCGAGATTGTACCAGACAATCTCATTTGGACGAGAAGGAAAAAGTTCAGAAAGGGAGTAAGTACAAGGAAACAAGGAAGAAAACCTTGTCATTCAGAGAAGCGAAAAATGAGAGTGCTTACCTTTCAGACACAATTCACTCGACTTACCTTTGTCGCAGAGATGATCTGGTAATGGGTAGATGCTGAAGCGATTGCTCTCGCTTATTGCTTCTTCCCGTCGTGCCAGTTGGGCTCAAGCCACATCTGCCCAGGCTTGCGTTTGACCGCATCAGACCGTCTGAGACGTGTGCTGTCGGGTCCGTCTTCGTCGTGGAACTCCAGCTGTGGAGAGTCCGGTTCAGACCTGGTTTTGTCTGGGGGCTGGCCCCCATCCGGTTCCTGGTTGTCTTCTTGCGGCCCCCACGTGTCGGGCAACTTGCTTGTTGAGCTGTCTCCGGAGTTGATCGTCTCGGCGCGTTCCGGGGACTGGTTCGTGGTTTCGAGGCAGCGGATGGAGGCTTCCAGGCGCATCGCCAAAGATCCGTCTGTTGTGCTCGGAGCGTAGGGCAGAGGCACGGGTGCAGGGAGGGGCGCTTCAGCTGACTCTGGGCTCCTTTTTTCACAAGCGATGTCGTCCTGAACGGGCCTGTTCCTGGATCTGTCGTTGCTAGCAGAGCGGGGAGGAACCATGAGGAGTTCGGGGTTCTGAAGCGGGACGGGACGGCCATACATTTTCTTCCACGGGTGCAAGGGGTTGGTCGTGAAGACATAGTAGGGATCATGGCCCCCTGCGTCGATGTGCTCTCGCCGATCACGCTCTAGGGCAGTGTTCACCAAGTTACCATCGTGCGGCACCCACTGAACGTTGGACCCCGAAGAGGCATGGCCCGCAGCTCGTGCCAGCCTCTCCCGTCTCGCAGCCATGATTGCCCGTGGCACACCAAGGCTTGGAGGGCTCGCCTGAACGGCTTGTGCCTCCCTCTCCTTTCTCTCCCTCTCCCTTCTTGCGGCCATGATTGCCCGTGGAACGCCAAGGTTTGAAGGGTGCGCCAATATGGCTTGAGCAACGTGCTGTCGAGGATCGAGCCGGGGATCGTCTTCCGGGGGCGAAGGGCTTCTTCCCCGTCTTTGTGAGTTAAGGACGTCGACCAACCAGGCCTCGCAGCGTACTTGACGTTCCGCAGCTTCTCGTTGCTCCTGATTTTCGGCGTTGATATATCGCCTTGCCGCCTCTTCAGCGTAGAGACCACCAATGATGTTTCGCGGTCGCTGCTCCTCATCCGTAGAGTCAGGCTTCTTCCACCTAAAGAAGCGGGAGAACTTCATTTCGATGAAGCCTCCCTCTTCCTCAAGCCTCCTTAGGCTCTCTGACGTCCCAGATCTCCTTGTCGTTCGGGACTTGGACTTTTTGGGTCCAAACTTGGTGATATCCGGAAACAAGTTGAAAGACTTTTCTTCGATACTTTGAAGGACGTTTGAAGACGTGAACTTTGCGTGTAACCTCTCCAGGTTTATATAGACATTTGAAAGACGCCCAGGCCCGTTGCAATCTCTCCTTGGTCAGAATGAAACTATTCATAGCTCTAAGAAGTCGTTCAGACGAGAAACATAAGGAGGTTTCATCTTTCACAGCCCTGTCAGTTTTTGTGATCGTACAAACGATTGAACAAGAGGTTGAGTGTCGCCTTTCGTGGCTCGTGTCAGCCTCTGCGGGTTGACCGAGATATGCCCAAGTTGAGAAAGGATCGGCCCGTCTCTATGAAGGCCTTGGAGCGAGAACAAAGCTTCTGAGCTGGCATTCACGGCAATCTACTAGAACAAGAGCTTTGTCGTTGGAGGATAACGAGACTCTCTTTGTCCTTGAAGGGCTCTAGACCTGGAGACAAGTGGCTATATAAGGCTCGAAGTCCCTTGAAGACTGACCTGTGGGTGCTCCTACGTTTGAAGAACCAGACAAGCAGATCGCTTCTCGCCAGCCCATCACAATGTGTTTCCAGACTTCAACCAGGTACGCGTGTGGACATAGCCGGCGGGATGGCGAGATCAAGACTTGCAGAAGGTTCAAGAGCGCACAGCAAAGCTGCTGGACAGCTTTCGGAGCGGCATTCAGTGGAAAACCTCGTGCTCATTGCGGAAGACTTGAGAACATTGGCGTGGTCCTAGGAGATGATGTGTGTCCCGGATGTCGACATCAGCAAGCCACACAGGTAAGAAGCGATGACTCTCGAAGACGTAACGACCATGCTAGCAACAGCAGCCGTCACCGCGAGGCTCGATCAAGTGACAATGTTCGGGCTATGCCGCCAGTAACTCACACAGGGAAGCAGAATGCAACGCAGCGAACTCGACAAGGGCCACCTCCAGCAATGGAAAACATCCATCCAGCATTTCGAGACCATCCAGCATTTGGCCAAAACGAAGACACAGCTTTAGAGCCAGCGGTTCCAACACAGAGGCGAAGGGGCCGGTCTAACAGTACATCACACTATGAAAGCCGGACCAGAGGCCGAGGTGTTTCCTCAAACCATCGAACTCGGTCATCACCACGACCATCCCGTCCGACCAGATCAGTTTCCGGGCCTGCCCGTGAACGAACCCACCACCACAGAGCAGCTCCTTCCGTGCCTCGGGCAGAGGTCTACAGCACCTACAAGACGCCACGACAGCCGCCCATTGCTCCCCTGATCCGTCCTGACTCGCCTCCTGGCTTCCCCTATCCCGCGGTCAAGCATGCCACGCGGGAGGAGATGCGCCAGAACTTCCGCATGGAGAACCCGACACTACAACGGGAAGACCGTGAGGCACGCAAGCAGGCGGAGCGTGATGTCCGCCAACTCGAGAAGGAGGCAGCACACCTGGTTAAGGACCGGGAGCAGACACACTCTGGGAAGCGCAGTGCCACAGTTCTCGACAACAAGGCTGAAAAGATTCGTGAGAAGGCGCTAAACAAGGCGCGCTCGCAGAAGGACAAAGAGACTTCCGCCAGCCGCCAGCCGCGCGACAAAGAGCACCGACCGCGGCCTCAGCCACTGGACATGCGCGGAGGTTCTACCCGACGAAAAGATGTTGCGCCACCGGTGGAGATGGCTGCTGCTTTGGCGCGTATGTTCAGCGGCGACGAGATCGAGACGCCACTGGTAAGTCCTGCCATCGGTCCCTCAACAGTCCACGCCAAATACCACAACAAGGTGGTAGCGGTCAAGCAGCCGACGATCCATTGGCCTCATTCGCCCTCGTCCGTCCCAGTTCCCACTCGGGAGTTGAAGCCAAAGGCGGACAGGCACGACGGTAAGCACCCAAAGAAGACTGCTGACAAGGACAGACAGAGAACTAAGGAGAACAAGAGGAGCTGGCTTGCTGGTCTGCGCGAGGCACCGTCCATCGAGTCCTTCGTCTGCAATGACGCGCGTGAGATAGAGCGAGGTTTGTAGAGGTAAGTCTCCAACAAAGAGTACGGCTGGCCGAGAACGGTGTGATTTCCTTGCCGTCGAACCAACACTCTCGTTTAGACTCATATGTTTCTTTTGTTAGGCCGGCTTGGCTTTAAAAATAGAAAGAAATAAAGAAAAAAAAAAATTTGAAAAGGAATGAAGCTCTGAAAACGAAAGGCCCCTTGACAGTGAAACGTGACTATAAATAACCATTCTAAATAGACGAAGCTATCTACGCAGTTTCGAACAAGACCGTCAAACAATTGATTATTGATGTGACCAACACAATGAACCGACATGTATCCTCGCAAATGCCTCGACATTGTGATAATGCATCAGGGGCCGTAGCACAAATTCCTCCTCCTCAACGCCAATCGCAATGCTGTTCGCTTTTTCATTCTTCCATTCCTTTCTCCAAATCATCGTAGCTTTAAATCACTTGGACCTAGCCGTGGTGTATCCTTCATGCCATGAAGTTTATCACCATCACTTCATGTCATGATCTTGCCCACACCGTGGCTGTGATGGCTTGTCGTTACCAGTGTTGTGCACATACGTTCACTGTGCTTTCCCATTCTTTCCAGCTTTGTTGGCCCTGAACTTCTCGACCTCCTTTTGAACTTCTTTGTTAACTCGAGATTGCAACTCTTGCCTGTAGCCCAGCCGAAAGAGGAGCTCGAGCCATACGAAAAGCGGCGCGAGGAAGATGGCTTGTAGAAGGTTGTCGAGCAATGCCGGGGCACGCCCCTCGTACTTGCCGTGCCCCACAAACTGGGCAAGCCAGCAGACCACATGCACCGCGATGGCCCACTGCGTCGCCGTCTTCGAGTCGAGGGAGAATATGTAATTGTCTGCTGCCGCGGCTCCCAGGCAAATCAACGCGAGCGCAGTCCCGGCTACAGGCTCAAGCAGGACGTACAAGCCACTCCATAGTATAGCGCTAATTGTGCATAGGTTCAACGGCAGATACGGAATCGTGAGCCAGTCGGGCAATGGGATGAGTGTTCCTGAGTTTGCGGCCTGCACAAGAAACGTGTTAGTGGCGCCTAGGACAGGAGGAGATTCTCAGGGAATAGACGCACGATGAGGAAGCCAGAAAACAGTATTATAGGCACACACATCATATGTATACCGAGATTGACGCCATTGTGATGGTACGCGCCATACTAGACGGGCAATTAACCGTTAGTCACTGATTTGCTGGCGCGAATGCAGCCGCGCTGTAAGCTCAAGAGGATCTTCTGCAGGACAGTTTCCGAGATGGCTTTTGGGGGCGAACGCGATTGGTGCTTACGAAGACGAGGTGCTTTTCCAGATCGAGAGACATGATCTATGCCAGATCCAACAAGGCTATTGATCGTATTCGCAGGTTCAATAAGGGCTGCTCGACTATACTTTAATCGAATATAGATTGTTGGGCGGGTCGAGGGGAGGTTCAAGTTGACCGGAATCTCGGGGATAATACTTTTCGTCTCGACTCATTTCATTGGACTATGTTGACATAATCATACTGGCTGTCCAGCAAGCGAGTCCAGCGAAACAATGACGCTGTGCAGAATTGATAGGGTGATGGTTGTGAGTCTGGGGAAAGGTGTATGAGGTAGAAGAGTCTCGAAGTCGTGTATAGCATGATTTTAGACATTGTTAGACGGTTAGGTAGCTAGTTCCATGTGCCCATGTCCTTAGCCAAGCCTTGCCTCGGATGTGGGGAAAGCTTTGTTGGGGTCTTCAGCACCCCGGACTCGCAGAAGTCCTCGAAACTCTGAGGGGCAGCTGCCTTCATCTTCATGTGAAAAGGAAATGTCATGCCATTTCAGTCTCCTATCGGCAGACCCGAAGAAGAACTCACTACCCCTACGCAGTTGATTGACTGAAGGGCAAGCAGTTAAAGCTGAGATCCAGAGGTGCATACAGGAACCTCGAGATACCTCACATACTACTTTAAAATGCCTGAACTTGAAGTAGTATAAAGTACAACTGCTGCAGAGCTTAACAACTGCTCCGGTAGAAAACAGTTATCGGTCGCCGCGGTCGCCGTCGCCCTCAACGAATCAACATCTCTTTATTCTAGACCATTTGGCTTTATGGCAAGATGTGGCTCTTAGAATGACGGAATGACAAAGCCACTGCTTGCTTTGCTGACATGGCTTTGTCGACGGAGTTGTCACTAACAAAGAACGAGGCTGATGTTCTGGGAGGCTTGAACGCTAAAGCCAGGGGGGCTGCCGCACTTAGGTTGGTCAGCGCACGGGCCACTCAGCCTTGATATTCAGGTGCGAAATGTTTTGCGCCGCAAGCAAGCAACCCACCACCGATTCTGCTCCACTACAGCAGCTCAACCTCTCAGCCTCGTCATCTCTGCAGTCCCTCCCTCCTCCCTTCCTCGGGCGCCTCAAGCAGACTGTATGATAGCTTCCTTCCTGTCTTCTTTCTTGCGCTGCTTCAGTCCCGGCGACACGATCTTTCTGGATGGGCAGGGCATGACTGGCTTGGGCGCAATTTGAGCAAACTGCTCCTCGTTGTTCCAGCTTCTTCTCTGGCGCGACTCACGCGCATCGCGACCTCCTAATCCGTCTCCGCCTATTCGGCTACCACGTCACATCGCCGAGTGACGGCCATCCTCCCTTCCGGCTGTAGACCTTCCTCGACGTCGACGGCTCCGTCATAGCCATCGTCCGCTCCTGGCCTCTGTGCTCAAATTCTTAGCGAGAGAAAGTTCTACCCCCGCATCAGTTTCGACAGCTTCGGGATCGATATTGGGAACTGGGGTATAGCAAAGCAAAAGACTGCGGATTCGTGAAAGGCTACCAAACTCTGATAAACATGTTCTTCCTCTACAACCTCGAGCGACGGGTAACCCTGCACCCGTCATATTTCGGTAAGAACATGCATGATTTGGTGACGAACAGGCTGCTTCAGGACGTGGAGGGTACATGCGCCGGCAATTACTTCATCATCTCTATCATGGATACGTTCGATGTTTCTGAGGGCCGCATATTGCCGGGGAGTGGCGTGGCTGAGTTCACAGTCGGTTATCGTGCCGTTGTATGGCGGCCCTTCAAGGGCGAGACGGTATAGTGTTTAGGTTCCTGTGCCTGCGGCATTCGCTTATCTGGGGTCTAGGTTGATGCTCAGGTGACATCTGTGAATCCCCACGGATTCTTCGCCCAAGCTGGACCACTACGGCTCTTCGTCTCGTCTCACGTATGTGATTGGTTTCCAAGGTTCTGGAGCTATCTTAATGGCTAAACACTGTTCAGTTGATCCCAGCTCTCGTAAAATATGACCCGAACGCGACACCTCCCCAGTTCACAGATCATGAGGGATTCACTATTGAGCCCGGCACCCACGTTCGTATCAAGATCGTTGGAACCAGGACCGAAGTCGGCGAAATGTGGGCTATTGGCAGCATCAACGAAGATTATCTTGGGTACTGCTCCGTTGTCTATCTGTTGCCAACCTGATGCTAATCCATCATTAATAGTCCTTTGCAAGACTCATAGGGCATGCTATTGCATCTGCTTATCCCTCTGGTTTGTTGGAATATTGAAACTCCTTGAGCTTGCTCCTGGAACTGTAATACTATAAGCGCGCAAGATGGCTTCAGCGCCGGGGTTTATCCCAGAACTCGAGATTGGCATTCAAAGCTGGAATGGCAGACACACGAAAGGCCTATAGGCCTTGTCTTCAGCATGAGTTGACGAGTTATCATTGAGCAAGGCCTTAGTGAGGCCAGAAGCTCAGTCCAAGCGCCGTAGCTGGTTGCTCAACAACTCTATCTCCGTTGCTGAACTACCCGAATCTCGTGCCATCTACGGAAAGAAAAGAGAGATAATTTAGCACAATGAATGATGACACATCCTTCTTGTCAGAAGATGAGATAATGCTCATAGAATTCTGTAGGCTATGTTGTCTGGCTTTAAAATCGCAATTAACGATTATTCAAATCATATCATGTTAGTCCAGGAGAGTTTTAACTCTGGCCGTACCGTGACTCGATATTGTACGTAACGGAGAAAGTATGTTGAACAGTACAAACCCCATACGAATGACACTCCCGACAATAGTGCTTGACTGCTTCAACAAGTTTTCGATGAGCATCAAAATATGTTTAGGTAATATTCTGTGCCGGGGTTCTTTTGAAATTGTCAATGCAAGCACATTCAGTGAAAGGTGTTCGTACGGTTTTCTCAGCAACGAGGCATCAAAGAATCATTCTAGTACAATCTCCGTAGACGAAAGAATGGGCTATCTTGGGAAGATTTGGCACACAATCCGCGGTTCCGCTCTAAGAGTTCGTGGCATCGAGATCCGAGACATCGATAACATCAGACATGATGATGCTAAGGAGATGACGGTTTTAGAGGACGGCAACGCCCCTATCAAAGGGGTCGCAGCTGAGGGTGTCGTGACCAAAGGGTTCACCAGCCGAGAGCCTGGATCTCCAAAGAATATGACTCTTAGATCGGCAGTCCAAAGACAGGATGTCATCGGAGCATTGCTTCCAGAAGAGGTCGCTCTTCGTCAACTCGATGACAGGCGCGACCCCGATTTCAGGGCCCTTGCGCTCGAGGCTAGCCCGGCCTGGGAGCACCTAGACCCAGCCCCGATCCGCTTCATGCTCTCTCAGCAAACTTGGGCACGACAGATGTACATCACCCAGATCTGCGACATTGTATACTGCCGCGTGACGGACGAGTGCTACGTACGGTGGCTATCGGCGGAATCGACGCCGCGAAGAATCAAGCTTATTCCGACGGCGCATGTCGACGACAAGGACGAAGACAATTGGGACGCCAGCTACGGGCCATTCACACCGCCACGAACGCCCGTATGCCGTCGGTGGCACCAGACGTATCCAGCAACCGAGATCTCGGTGCCAGCGAAGGATTTCAAGTGGGGAAGGCGTCGTGCGGGAAAGCCGTCTTGCATAGGTTCGCGGGCTGACACTTGTGACTGGGTGTTATCCAAGACCCCTGATTTAGGGAAACAGGGTCCAACGCTAATGGCTACGATACCGGGCGGCGACGAGTACTTTCTAGTTCCGCCGCAGAATGCGACTGGATCTGATTCGCGGGCTAATTGACTAGGTATCCCAGTCTTATGAATGTTCTGCAGCATAGCCAGGGTAGTCCGTTGTAGCGTTCTCAGCTCGTTGTTCAGCTCCGCCGAACTTGCGACTCGGCTATCGGCTATGGAGTTGGGATATATAGTTGGCAAGGCTTGAGAAGATTACTGATCAAGGTTGGAGTAATAGGGCGCATGTATCGAGTGTTCCAAGTCAAGGACTTGTCTTCGTAGAAACAAAATAACAAGGTAACTCTCCTTGTCTCGAGCGAAAGGTTAGACCACGAACAAATGGATTGCCATAAATCTCTCAGGGTTGTCCACACCGTGATAGATCTCAAAAGGCATGTAAAATTTCAGCTGATAAGTCTCAGGATATCGTAATCTCGAATATATGTCCATAGTCTAGCCGGGCCCATGGTGAGCCACTTGCATTTACGACAGAAGCGATCTCGCAGCGGATTCAGGCGAGCAAACCAACAATCAAGAGTGTGGTCATGATCACCGATAAAAAAGCAACTCCAACGAATAATGTTTTTGCTTCCGTCACGAGACCAACTGTTGGTGCATTGCCACGTAATGGCCTTGGGCTCCAGAGAGTTGGTGAGTTTGCCATTCCGCAATTGTGGAAGAGTTGGTCTCACAACATTGCAAGACAAATGACTAGCTCCGTATAAATTGCCGAGTATGGTCAGGTATCTGGCCGAGTTGCCCAATTACGAGCGTCAAACATCCACACCTCCGTTAGTGCAGATGCTGTGTAAATGGTAATTACATCTGGACTCCCCCCAAGTCCGGCTTTTATCGGTCATGAGGACAACAAGAAAAGGAACCCAACTGCACAAGTTGCAGGATTAGTCTGTTGGCACTTTGGTCCCGGTAATGTTAGCCACACAAATGTTGGTCTCGGTATCCTTCTAGATGGCCAACCATAATACAGCGGAGATCCTCGAGTCCTCCCTCGAATTCGGGAGAGCGGATGTCACGGCCCGGTCCGCCATTGCTTCTTTCTCGCCTCGTACCCCTGCAAGGACCCGGACATCGCTATGTCATAACTAGGATGTCGATCGTGTGTGATCTTCAGCAACGTCAGTCAGGCTGGTGATTCCAGAAACCCGGTTTGTCTTCTATTGCCAAGATCTCGAGTTGCACAACCACGGAACATGGCGTGAATGCTTCCCGCTATCTGAAGTCGGTGAGCAAGGGACTGTTGTCTTTGAGAATTTGAAATAAGGACGATCCTTGTAAGTTCTGTGAACATTTTCTCCAAGGCTGGCAGAGCAGATGCATAGATGTGATAGATCACAATTCCATATCACCAGGGCGAGGCTAAGTTGCGGTGAGTCAACTTTGCCTTCGGCGATTGCTGCATGTCGGGTATCTCGTTACCGCATTACCAGTGCATATTCACTCGCGGGTACGATACCCAGAAACTAGGATGCTCACAAAAATAAGTAGACGTAAAGATTCCGTCTGAAGTCCGTCTCTAATAAAAGACCGTGGGGTGATGGCTCGGGTGCCAGAAGTGCAGAAAGCCTCCTAAAACAGACCTCGATGTTCCGCACCTTATCTTTATAACATTCCTGCTAGGTGACATCAGCATGACGCGAGACATTTCAACTCGGACATGACTGGCTAATCAACTGCAACGCATTGTGCAACGACAATAGCGTGGCGTACGGCATGTTGAAGATGTCGAGCCGCTGAGTATGATGGCTAGGGTTGAGGGGATACTTATGTATGAAATCTGCTCAGTTGCGCCCATAAGCTTCAAGGGTGTCACACCTTGATCTTGATGGTCCATTTACCACCTAACTTCAACCATCTTGCAGCGAGACAGCTGCAGGAGGCCGACATGAGTACCACGCCAAGAGCCGCAACCAGATAGCGTGGCCCCCTCGTCTCGAGAATGGCCTGACTGATAGGCAGACTGATGAGATTTCTATTCGTCAGGTCAGGAGCCTTGTCTCGCATCCATCGCGGTCTATGAAAGGGGCTTGAAGAACTCACGCAAAGCTAGCAAGGGTATAGCAACCTCCAATCCACTTTCCATAGCCTCGTCTCTCGCAAAGTTCGCTGATACATGAGGCTATCTTAGCGTATCAGCAAAGTACGGGATCTGAGATGTGGGGGATAGCGGAGGCCAGACAGACCAGACAATGGAGTGAAGCTCCCAGTTCCAAAGCCGATCAGAAACGCCACTGTGTATAATGCAGGAGCGGAGTGGTCGCCGCTTGGGATCCAGACTGTGAACATGACCAAGACCGTAAATAGGATCGTCATGATCGTCACGTTGAATGGACCCCAGAGAGTCGCAAGATATGGTGGCGCGGTCCTTGCAAATATCGCGCCACTTAAGGGTCGTTGGCGTAAGCTGTGTCAATAGGGACCGAGGGAAGACTTACATGTTGTATGTCATCTGTATGTAGAACTGGTTTCCAAGACTAAGAAAGACCGCATACGCCGGCAATGACCCCCATTGAGCATAGAGGACGAACTCGAATACTACATAGCACACGTGTGTTAGTAACCTCGTCACAAATCACGGCTTGTGGTGCATACCAAAGACGCTATACGTAAAGAGAAAAAACTTGCGAGACCGTAAAAACGTCCAGCCCGAAGAACAGCCAGACCATAGACTTCTCCGAAGACTTGCATCGCTGTTCTTGGATTCCTTCGCCTCGACAAGCATATTGCCAATGAGGAGGAATCCAACAAGGATGCAGGAGAGCGCCACCATGGCATCCTTCCAGTCCAGTTTCTCGAAGAGGACCTGAAGAACCACGGAGAAGAAAATCCCGCCCACGGGTGCTCCAAGCGTCACGAAACCAATTGCGAAGGCGTGATGTTCCCTGAACCAATGATCGACAACGCCAAAAGCCACCACGGCTGGAACAGCTAGTGAAAGGATGTAAGTAGACGAGCTTAACGACCTGGATGAAGTCTCGGTATAGCCGACATACAGTTGAAGACACCGCCAACAGCGAAGCATCCGAGAAATTGGGCGTAAGTCGAGGCCCAGCCTAGCCCAAGAAAAGATAGTGCGTATGCCAGGCTGCCAAACGGCAGATAGTAATGAGGCTTGAATCGATCAAACAAAGCTCCTGCAGCCACACACATGAAGCAGTTGAGAAATCCGAACACTGACAACAACCAGGAGATCTTAGTGGCTGACTCCGCAGCTAGCTGGTGCTCCTGCAAGTAAGTTTGAAACAAGCCTATCGCTGACATCAAGCCGTAAGTCGGGATTGTTAGAAACAAGGAACCTGTAAGAACCTTCCAGGATCTCAGAGTATGCTCAGACCCTGGCCCTGGATTATCGTTGCTTATACCCGCTTCTACGCGGAAGGCTTCTTGATCGTTGTACACGCGATTGGATGAGGCTGAAAGGTATTGGCCACCACGATGTTGACCCCTGGATCTTGAAAGTAATTTTGTCAGTTATCACATTGCCACTTATTCCAGCATCTTGCGGAGAACTCACTCTAGGCCCTTTTCGTGAGAGCATGCATCCAGCGAAGAGGATTGAGGTGGTGGCTGGTTTGACATGATGACGGTGAGGATGGACGATAGGGATGTGGCCTCGCAGTAACACATATAAAGAGAGCTGGGATGTTGCTGGTGGTTGTTAGACAGAATAGAGATTTCTCAGGTAACATCAAAGGTTGACAACCAAACAACTAGCTTTTATACTTCGAAAGTTCTGTGATTCACTTCTGTAGTGTGACTGGAAACATTTGGGAAGTAGGCTGGTAAGTCTGTCAATCAAAGATTGCTCTGAAACTCCCAACTGGAACTGACAAACAAACAAGGCCCCTGCAGCAGGAACTCGAACGGATCTTAAATACTCTACTAGACCCTCGCCGAGGATCAAACCATATATATATGGTTATAGTAGAAGTCTGATCGTATTCGAAACGGAGAGTCAAGCAAGGAGCTTCTTATAAGAGTTATTGAATCTCAAGATACTGCCACTAGCAGCAAGCAGAGAAATCTACCTCGTCATATGCCACATTGGCTTCCTAGCAACAAGCGGAGTAATCTTTCCCCCATTTATGCATCTTGAGAACAAAGATCAAGCTAATGTGACAGCAAAATCAAAAGAAACATTGCGGAAGCCTGAAGCGAAGATACAAGTGCTTCGAGGGTACTTACGAGTTCGTCCGGAAAACTCTTCATGCACCAAGGCAACCCAGTCACTCGACAGCATCTGATGCAGAGCTGCCTATGCAAATAACCAAGTAGACATCCTATTGAAGCTTAGTGGAGGCTAGGCAAGACAAACATCGGATTGAATGGGAAAGGAGTAGGACTAGACAACGAACCAGCTACGTCTTGTCGAGTGAATACCAAATCCACTTGCTACCTGCTGCCAACTGTCACATCTCGTCACCAACAACCAACATCGGACGTGCTTCACGGAGCACAGTCCAAACAATTCACTTTTTACTTCAGCAGAATAAAATCGACTGGGACACCCTTCCTCAGCCTTATTTATTGTGTCTTTGGCGACATTGCTGGAGCGTTCCCTAAGCAAAGTGAAAAAGCAAAGGCAGGGAGAGTTATATTGCTGAGCGTTTGTTCTGCCGCTAAGACATACTCATTGAGCTTCATGGTGCAAGGCTAAACGTCAGCCACGTCTCAGGATCGGTAACCATGCTCTCATCTTTTGCTAGACGCCAGTTTGGCGTCATGCGGAGCGGAACGGTTCCCACCCTCAAAGGCAGGGCAACATCACGTCGCTCTCTTGCCCAGGTTGCATCCGCTGCCGTTGCCGAGACGCATGTCGCTAATAGCGTGGGTGTCCAACTGCCCATAGCTGTTCAGGTACCAGAGCGTGAGGAGTTTTGGCGCAAGATCCCGCTCTGGCAGGATGCCTCCGCCAATGACTTCCTATCCTACCGCTGGAGTGTAAGTCCAGGCTCTTCCATCGTTAGGCTGAGCGGCATTGTTGATGTTGTTAATCCTGACACCACCTATACAGGTCGCCAATACGGTCCAAGGCAGTGCTAAGCTCCTCAAATTCTTGAGTGCAGTACTTCCTAGCGAGGTACCTTACGACGAGACCGCGACCACCATGCAGACACGCGACGATCTTATCAAGGATGTCTTCGACGGAATTTCTTCGGCAACCATGGCAATCAGAATGACGTTAGTGATGTTTCCTGACCTTCTAAAACATCGGCTGCGGGCTAATGGTTCATACTCACCTTAGACCATACATTCTGAGCAGAGTGGATTGGCAAAATCCGCGGAACGATCCCATCTTCCGACAGTTCCTTCCCCTGAAGTCAATGATGCTACCCGATCACCCGAAGCTTACACTAGACTCCCTACATGAGGAAGCCGACTCTCCCGTGAGCGGCCTTGTGCATCGGTATCCCGACAAGGCACTTTTTCTGCGTAAGCATCTTAAGCCATTCGAGCCGATTTGCGGGTCGCCACTCGTTGACCGTCTGCTCGTCATTACTGACTGCTCGTAGCTACATCGGTCTGCCCCACTTACTGCATGTTCTGCACGCGTTCATATGCTGTAGGAGCTGACACGGAATCGGTAACCAAGTCGTCGTTGAAACCAACACGTAAGAGATGGGAGCAGGTCTTTGAATACATCGAGAGCCAACCCGGTCTCCATGATATTGTGGTATCTGGTGGCGATAGCTACTACTTGCAGCCAGAGCATCTTTCATTGATTGGTGAGAGGCTCATCAGTATGCCCAACATACGTCGCTTCCGCTTTGCGTCCAAGGGGCTTGCCGTGGCGCCAATGCGTGTCCTCGATGGGTCCGATGGATGGGTCAACGCCCTCATCGATGTCTCCAACAAAGCAAAGAAGGCGGGTAAAGCCGTGGCGCTCCACACCCACTTCAATCACCCGAACGAGATCTCATGGATTACCCAAGATGCCTGCCAGAAGCTTCTCGAGGCTGGGGTCATGGTTCGCAACCAAACAGTGCTTCTTCGCGGAATCAATGATGATGTGGCCACTATGTCAGCCCTGATTCAGAAGCTCGCAGACAACAACATATTCCCGGTGAGTGGGCTCCCATCTACGCAGTGACAGAGGCTGATATCGGTGTACAGTACTACGTCTACATGTGCGATATGGTGAAGAAGGTTGAGCATCTCCGCACTCCTCTGCAGACCATTTTAGATCTAGAAGCGCAGATCCGCGGCTCGATTGCCGGATTCATGATGCCGCATTTTGTTGTGGACCTGCCTGGCGGCGGCGGGAAACGCCTTGCATGCTCCCACCGGTCTTATGATCGAGAGACGGGAATTTCTACTTTCACCGCCCCCGCGGTAACAGGAAGAGCCAAGGAGAACAAGGTTTACGAGTATTATGACCCTGTCAACTCCTTGTTTTCATGATTGGTGGGGAGCTGGATCCAGACTTGCATGTGGGCGGATCGTCGAGCATATGATACGGCCGTTGGTGTTAAGCGTTAGCTAGGAAATGCCGCACCGTAGGCCCTGGACCTTTACAGACCCTTATTACCACTAGGCCTGCTTTGTGTTAGATTGGACTTACCTGCTCAGGGTCGACATACATGATAATTTCATTTTCCGTAACTGTATTTCCTTGTTTCTCAATAGAATACTGCAATTCTATGTATCTCGTTTCCATTATGTCGCTTTGAGGGGTCTTGGGGAGACTCGTGTCCAACATCGGTCGTTGGTTTGCGGCTGTTATGTCTATTTAAATCCGTGTGAGATGATTGGTTGTCTATGCTGCAGGGGACCCCTGTCTTCTCCAAGCAGCGTCGCGATGCTACCGGAATGGCAAATCTAGCAATAGTCTTCGCCTTTTGTGATGTAAAGCGGTGAGGCGGATGAGACGAAGTTACATCCAGGGTGGTATGTAAATTTTTATGGCCACTGAAAGCGTTCTGAGCTGTCGAATTTCGAACTCGAAGCGTCTTGACAAATACCTGATAATGCATGTACCAATTGCCCCCCATAAATCAAAGGCAAGCTCGAAATCCTTACGCACTAGGGAGAGGTAGGGGTAGCCATAAGGACATTAGCCCTGAGTACTTCTCTGAGTATTGTTCATCTCGATGAACGCGTCATTCAATGATTCTACTGATCGATCCGGAATATGGGAAGACACCTCTTCGCGCCAAGAGCGCGTTTGTGCGGTGGCGAATAACTCAGGCACGTTTTCAGAAGCCACCAGTCTTCGAGATTAATGCCCAATAGGCCGGCAGCCTGGATGTGAATAAAATAGGGTGTTATTCCCGCGGATACTTGACCCATCACGTCTTAGTGACATGGACAAATAGAGCATGATCGCCGTATTTGCCTCTCATCCACACAACGCTTAACACAATCCTAAAGCTCACCGGATGTCAGCTCCCTGAGACTTTCGCAATATTATGTTTGCTTACCCGGGAAAGGCCCTTGCATACTGATTTCAAATAGCATCCTTGATCTACTGATCGGCGAGCCGATTCACCTGTGAACTTAACGTTATCGTGCTGCTAGGTCATTCATTGATGGCTCATGAGCAAACGAGTTAGTACTTAGCGAGGACTCTCCTTATGGGTTCAACCAATAGGCTTAATTTGAGCCGCCTTGCATGATTAGCTTGTGCCACATAAACGTTCGTTGACTCCCGATCAGGAGAATCAATGTTAGTCCGGTAAGGGTTTTGTGACATTTTTAACGAGAGAGCACTACCTTTGTAGTCGTTGGTGGATTATAGTAACAGAAGAATCCTCGAGGTCCATAACATTATCATAGCTCTCATCAATTAGTACTTCTAACCTTGAGATATTAACACTTGTTGCCCTGGCGGGGGACTACATTCTTGAGGCGCTCGGCAATGCTTAGGTTACACAACAGACCAACAGCAGCAAGGTCAACCAATCCCAAACCTTTTCAAGGCTACCAGGCCTCCTTGCTCGTATAGGAACACGCCAATTAAAGTTGATTTGAATGGCGGCTTGTTGCTCTTGCAACTGTTGAGGTAGATGTAGATTTGCTTTTTGTGTCCTCCGTGGCAGCACCAAATGGCCTGAGGGTCAGTCATAGCTAGACGCCGAGATTGAGTTCCGGGTCCCGCCTATGTTCGAATCTTCAAGATCAAGTAGGGGATATTCCAGCATATGATGTCGATCCATGGCGTGAGTAAAAGCCTGGGCTGGTCTTACTCCACCCATACTGAGTAGAATGCTAGACCTGCATATTCGCCCACGCGAGTGATGAGACCACAACGCCGCTGGGATTACAGCCACCTTCCCTTTCAATAGCATGGCGCCCGCGCCATTAAGAACCAGACGAGCCTACGGTAAGCCACCACTAGGGTCCCAAGTGCAACTCGCATGGTGGCGTCCAATATCGTAATGGGGAAGAGACGGACCGTTGTTGTGTTCATTGCTTTGCCACACCGACCAACCCTGTCGGCCACTTAAGGCTCTCAAAGGATACTCGAGGGGTAGTATGACAATGCAGCCATCTATCTTTTTGGGACGACTCCTCGTTGCTGTCACATTTGCCACCCGCGTCTTGCTGCCCCGTTTTTGTACTCGCCAGGAACCCAACATGGATAGCCCATGTCCTTTCAGACTGACTCCATAATCAAAAGATGAGGCTTGCAAATCCGCTAACTCTTAACGGGAGAATTGAATCCACAACCGCATGGCGATGGCTTGCAGAATGCGCCTCAGTCCAATGACAACGAACATGAAGGCCTTTTGACTTGAGTCAATGCCCTTAGCCGTTACCCGATACCGAAAACACAGACTATGCCAGTCGATCGATGCGACTTATTCATCTGGGCTTCATTCCACGTTAACGCACGCCCAAAATCATCCGATATGTGCAAATACTTCAAGATAATGATCCCACAATTCGTCACTGAAATATCATAAATTGAAACAAGCAGTAGGTTGGAGGAAAATATAGCCTTTCTGGAACTAGAGTTGGTGACAGCTCGTAATTGTGGCTTTCAGCTTTAAAAACGCTAAAGGATCATCCTAGTTATGAAATACCGAAAAGTTTCGGAAGTGAAAAACGTACAGGGAATTGGAACTTAGTAAATCAATGTCCACTGTAGTCATTACCGGGGACGTTCCAAGTGAACTGGCTCAGAAGTCACTGTCAAAAGACATTTGCGGAACCGTGAAGAGCATTATACGAGTTACCACGAATCAATAGGCACTCCCACGCTTGGCGATGCCAGCTCTCATCGAAAAGCTTCTCTGATGCCTGAATGAAGGCTACCATGAGTGAGCACAGCCTTTTAAAACCTGAGTGGGTGTTATTGACCACTGTTGGATGCTCGACGAAAATGGTACTGCAATCTGATCGACTTCGAGAAGGAAAACAGTCTACTGGGACTGCTAGTGACAATCGAAACCAGCTTCATCTGACTCTGTATGTCACATCGGCCGCCATGTCCAGGATTCGTCAGTCGTTCTGCAATCGAAAGTATTTTTTAATGTTGCCATTGATGTCTTCAAGTATCTCATGCTGTGGAGCGACATGAAAACGGTATTCAAAAATGCAAAACATGGGAGGCGATCGGGTGACCATTGAGACTTTGGATTGACACTTAACGTTGAAAACAAATCGTTTGGCTTTCAAAAGCTCTCAACTGATTGAACTTCTCTTGTTCTAAGTAAGGACAAGCAAGCCCGTTTTCAAGTTCAGATGCCAAAAGCTCCTCTTTCTATCTAAGTAGGCAAACCTCAACAGGTGTGTCCAATCAAGTATCACCTTGGCCCGATAAAGGATGGGGATGGCTGAAGTCAATGTGCTCAAATATGCGCAACCACCCACTTTGCAACGCTACTGGCGTGCTACTTCACTGTATCAATTGTGCTTGTGGTCATGCTTTTGGAAAAACTTAAAATGCTGATATTCGACCCGTTTGAATGGATATTTGGATCGAGGTGGGATAGACTTCACACTATTCTTCTCCCTGCGGCCATCATCAGATCACCACCACCCTTTATTCACTGCGCAAACACCCGCTAGCTACCGATCCAACGTTTGAAGAGCCACGATGGATATGAGCGATATGACTTCGACCATGGCCATGGGCGCAACGGCGACCTCGGCTACACCCGCGGCTACTTCATCGATGTCGATGTCAATGGGTGGCAGTTGCCAGATTTCGGTTAGTATCCTCTTCAGATTTCTCCCCATCTTGACATCCTGAAGGCTAACATGCTGCCGTGATAGATGCTTTGGAACTGGTACACCATCGACAGTTGCTTCATCTCTCGATCCTGGCATGTGAAAAGTCGTGCTATGTTCGGTGGCTCTTGCATCGGCGTTATCCTTCTCGTCATGGCTCTCGAGATGAGCCGCCGCGCCGTCAAAGAATATGACCGCTACCTGGTCCGCAAGCATACCATGACAGGTGCCCCTGCTTCAACACCAGCAGGATCTCTTCCAAATTCTGGAGACGCGTCACCTAAGACAAACGCAACGGCCTGTGTCACTGCCACTGGCGTAAGACCGTTTCGGCCGAATGTTTTGGAACAAGCTGTGCGGGCACTGTTGCATATGATTCAGTTTGCAACTGCATACTTCATCATGCTGTAAGTCTCGGCGCTCATGCTCGTGCGCAAGTCTTGCGATAGCAGAATTATGGCACTATGCTCAAAGACAGAACGATGCTGACAGACTGAACTAATAAGGCTTGCCATGTACTACAACGGCTACATCATCATCTGTATCTTCATCGGAGCATTTCTCGGCTCGTTTGTATTCCAATGGGAGATGCTAGGAGGGTAAGTCAATAGACACTGTGTCTTATGCTGATCAGACTTGACTGATGAGAGTGACTTGTAGCGGAGCACCGACAAGTGCAGCACAGGAGGCTACCGTTTGCTGCGGCTAGGATAAGGCATGACGAGTTGTCTCTGACAAGAGACGTGAATTGACAGTGGTTGATATGGACTCAAGATTGACAGACAGAGAGATCATGTAGCCCTACACATTTCATGTAGCTTTAGGTGCAATGAATGACAAACACTCGTTTCACCATTCCGTGATTCTCAGCGCTAGGTTATGCAATGCGCTCAACTTTCGCATGACAACTAAAGTAGCTATCGAATGGTTGCTCTTGACGTAGCGGCACAGCAAGTATCGCCGGGTCCCGTCTTCTCGCCGGTCTGTACCGGACGCGATACAGACGCTAATTCATTGCGCGGCGCCGGCCCGCGCCGTCTAGTCCGGCCGCTCTCGGGGCACGGTGTACGGGACCTCTCCTACTCGATCTTCGACTTAAGAATAGCGAATGGCTGGAGCCGAGGAATCTTCTGTGATTGAAACTTGCCGCTCACTGAATCCTCAGGCAAGGATGAACTACTGCAATTGCTGACGCGTATGGAATGTTCGTGCGTTACGTGAGATAT